CTGGGGTATGGCTGTGGCAACTAAAATCTTGGTGACTTGGACGGTCAAACCACCAGGGACGTTGTGACTTCTTTGACACTGTGTTGAACCATCTACCATGTGGTTATTTAACATAGCTATGGAACATCACCATTTTTAATAGGTAAATCATCATAAATGATCTATAAATGGGCAATTTTCCATAGCAAACTGTTAAATAACCAGAAGGTACGTGGCTTGTTACGGTCCTTTTTTGAACGCGACAAAAATTCCTGTTGTGCTTGATAGATGAGTGGCTTTTCCAATATGCATTTGGCATGACTACCCTCCAATTGCCGAGCATACTTTTAATGGGTGGCTGAACCACCAATCAGATCAATCAGATAACATCTACAAACACGCCCATCATGCAAGGTTGTATTCCTTGTTTGGTTCTACCAGATATTTTCTTACAAACAAAAATTCCAATCGTTTATCGAAAGGAGTGGTCAACCCGGGATGGTCAACCCGGAATTTGAGGTTGAAGAGACGCTGGAACAGCCTCTGGATGTCCTGGTGCCGATTTGGATGGACAGAGAGACGCCCTGTGGATCTGTGGGTGAGTATCAAGTTTATACTGAATGATACTGATGGAAGTTTCCATCGCACATCTCGGGGTATCTACACGTACATCTGGATTCATAAAGGGGTTGTAAGATTTGTGAGGTGATAGTCTTGATATGTCTTGGCGGTCTATACTGGAAAAGAGAATTGCCGCAGCCACTGTACCAGGTATGACCCCATTGGTTCACCGGTGGGCCCTCTCTGGGCAACTCATTGGGTGAAACATGAACGATTCGGTGGATTTTAACGGTATCACGGATGGTGATAAAAATAAAACGCCTGGCCGTGTTTCAAGGTATGTAACAATCACTTGAATGGTGGATTTTATACTTTGAAATAGTTTGAAACACGATGGAGTCAGTTGGCTACATTTTTTCAAGAATAAAAATATATACTCCTTCCCTCCCAGTCGTTTACTGACTTCATCTTGTTTCAATTTCAATGAAACATCCATACTAAAGATTCAGGTCCGGGCACAATCTATTCGTTGCAACACTTTTTGGGTGGTTGCTTACTGGGACCAGGCATTGACTGGTTTAGACCCATGGTTCTTTGAAGTCAGGTTGCTCAAACATCCCCTTTGGGTAGCTTCAGTTCCACCTTCCCAGCATTTGTTCCAGGGAAACAATGCTGAAATCAGAGCAGTTTTGTTTGAATTTTGGATGGTCAATTCCCTACCCATAGGATCCATGTATGCTATATATGGTAACATTTACCATCAATCTACCCCAGTCATGTTAGCATATATAGCAGCACCATGGATCCGGCATGGGCTAGGAAATTCTGCAGATCCCAGCCGCAATCCCTGGCTGACACCGCAGCAACGGAGGTGTTTTCCCTGAACCGCTGTGATGCCAACTTCAAGTCGCTGGTTTGCCGGACCCAGAGTTCGGAGGTGGAACTGCTGGGAGGTCGCCGTGGCCTAAATGGAGGTGCTAGGAACATTTTATAGCTAGGAACATCATCAACAGTGGATTTTCTAGCAAACCATGTTTGATTTACTACTCTGTATGGATTTCCATAGATTTTCTATGTTTGTCTGTGTTTAGCAATGTTTATCAGTTTATCCATTCCGTTTGGATCCAAACACTTCCTAAGAAGGTACTTGACCTCCCTAAATCACACCCCAAAGACTTCCTCAGAACGTACATACGGACTGTATGTAAGCTTCCTGGGTGGGTTACAGCCTATACAGATCTAGATATTGACCAGTTTTGGGACTAGATGGGTTTACCATGGTTGAATACCGTTGATCTTCTACTCGTAGTATCTTTTAGTCATCAAACTAAAGGTTCAACTCTAGCAGAGGATCAACAAGCCACCACAATTTGAAGTTTTCTAAGGGAATTCTTGGAGTAGGCACTTCAAAAACATCCTGCTCTTTCTTGAACCAAGTTTAAGGATTTACGATGAGGATTCATCCAGCAGAGACTTTTTGTTTTGGCGTCAACAGGTCGGACACACAAAATGGCACTGAACCAATGGCACTTGGGTATGTCGCCAAGCCATTTAAGTGATCCCCGGGGATGTCTCATGATTCTGCCAAAGTGAAGTACCAGACATGGACCGACTTGAAAACAGGAACTCGACTGTTGTTGCCAGCGAAATCAACGAAATCAACGAAAATGGAGGGTTAAACGGCTTAACCAGCAAAAATCGAGGGTTTGAGGCAGTCACGAAATTGAGGAGATATCAATATCCAATAGATGGCACTTCATTCTCCGGGGTTACCCCAAGTGACATCCTTCCAGATTAGCAAATTCTTTGGTATGTCCTTGGGTAATCCCTTTTTATAAGTCACAAGGATGTTGTATGTTGTATTGTCATAAAGACGATAGCAAATGGGACAAACAAACACATAGAAAGTGTTTGTACAACTTAGTGTTGAAAGCAACTGGTTTGGAAATTAAATTGTCAGCATCAAAATTTTCTTACATACATGTCCAAGAGCCACAGAAGTTTGTCTTGATTTTCCATTATCTCAGAATGAGTTCCAGGAGAAAAAAACAAGTGCACACCTCCATTATTGGATAACTTCGCATCGCGAAAACCAAGATTTATTTCTTACCAAACAGAACCATAGTTTGGCGCACACCCTCACTGGAATAGGCACATCTGGCTTTTTCGCAGAACTGGTGAAAATTTGGTCAAGCTAGTTATATACTTTTCAACAAATTCGGTTTTCTGCACTATTTCCAACCAGTGACATCAGGGTTGCTCCAACCTAGCAACGATTGGACACAAATTTGGGGGACAATTGGTATTCTTTCCTCTTGATTTACCCTTTGGCAATCAACCATGGCTTGAACATTTAGATGAGTTCGATGATTTTCCAAGCTCAACACGTCGATTTTCCAGGTTTGGGGACACGGGGAGCAACCCACTGGACACCGGGGCGGGGCGCAGGACTCCCGTCGTGCCAGGCATATTCCGAGCTTTTTGGCTTGGCGGGCGGCTTGGCCGACGGTCAGATGATGCTGAGGCCACAGCCGCACAATGTCACAATGTGAAACACGGAGCACTTTTTGAGGCAACAAAAATAGAGGCTTAGCTGGCTGAGCCCAGAAAAATGGTGCTTTCATGGATCCACATAAGCAAAGATGGTAATGGTGGTTTCAAATCAGGATTTAATCATTGAAACCATCATGAGTTTACGGGTATATGATGGGTCATGGGTCCATAAAGAGGAAGTTTCATGGGATAACCAACTTGATATGATATGTCTCTGAAAATGGGGGTATCTAGCGATTTCCTACCGAAACAATGGCCAGTGAAGAGAAATGGAAAACCCCCCATGGTCAGACCCCATGTAGAAAAATGGTTGCCCTAAATACGACGTCGATTTGCTGTTGACATCACGTGATGTGTGTTAAATCGTGTTGAATCTCATGTTTGCTGGGTAAATCTTCATTTTTGCTCATAACATCCTAGGATGAATTTCTCATTTATTGCTGCCTAAATCGCCTCCTGACAGGTGCTTCTACTTGACCAAGCCTCGCGAAGCGGCCGATGCTGCCTGGATGTGACACCATTTTTATGAAGGGCTTTGTCTTGGAGGGGAAGCATCCCCAAAATTGGTCAACTGATAGCTACAATAGGGGAACAACTGGATACAAATGGTGAACTTTCAGACTTTCAGGTGAGCTGGTTCCCTTTGGTGAACTTTTTTATTTTTTTGGTGAATGGTATACTCTGCTCAGATTGCCTACAACATATGGAACCAAGAACTGCGTATGGTTGGAGCCTGGGCTCTAAATTCATCCTCCGGGTGTGTTGCTCCATGCTGCAATGCTCGGCGTGGGAGCGCGACCTCGGACCCCTTGGAGCGGTAGGATGTTGGTTTTCCATGGCAAGTCCATGGCAAATTAGCGCAACATGTTGGGTCAAGTGGGTCAAGTTGCAACGACCCATTTTTGTGTCCCAGAAAACCCTGCGGCCATGACAATTTCTTGAAACTGGTCCTGGAAGAACCAGGAACCATCATTTTCACATTGTTCTCAAGGAAAACCAACGTGGTAAATCTGGAGGGATAGTTTTGGCCCGTCCAGTGGCATACGGCAAGCCTTTCGATCTGCTGCCAGCAACCAAAAGTCAAAAAAAACAGTCGCACTAGTAGTGCGGCTGAAGTGTTGAAACGGCTGCGATACCCAGTTACAGCAGAGCTCGGGGAACCATAAAGATCCGACTAATGGTGAGGCCCCCGTTCGATAGCTAAGTTGACTCATAACTTGGTTAACTGTTTGATTCATGAATATTCATGATTTAAGAAATTTCATAGTGGTACAACTATAGGCAAATGACTGCTAATGATTAATGGAACTATAAACCAACTTCTAACTGGAGGGCCTTACTTTGTAATTACTTGAGAGAGAAGGGGTGTAAAATGTTAGAGGCTGCCAAACTAATGGCACACGATACTTTTCTGATTGAACATGAATCTTCCCGCTTCGGTTGATTGAGGTGGAACAAACTGATGCACCAATCACCATCTGGTTCCATTTCGCATCTTTGAAGATGGTTTCATCGATTCCGACGAACCATCATGATTCACCTCCAGCACGGGTCATTTTTTCCCATTTTCAGTTTCCCTTTTCAGGTGAAAGGTGTCCATAGAAGGACATGCTGGTCACGGTTTCGAGATCTATATTGGATGATTCCAAGCCCGCTGTACATCCACATGTTTTTCGGATTGTTCCCCCGAACATTCTGCTAAAATGTAGTGGGTTGATTGGTGGATTGAAATACACAACATGGACCCCCTGCGGAGAGTACTTACGTTGAAGTGGACATTGATAGTTTTGGGCCCTAACATTCTCTGAGGGCCATTTCCAACTGTCCTACTCCCCAAAATTCACCAAAATCCCATGTTCCAATGTTTCAACTCCCAACCCGTCCTTTTTTGGGGCCTTCCATGGTTGCATTTCCCAACGCTTCGGATCTCGCATCGACGTCCTCTTGCGCGCGACCTTCGGACACAGCGCCTCCAGTCTCCACGGTCGGCGGCTGCCTGGACGTAGCCCAGGACAGGGTGGGGATTCATGGGGGAGCAGAAAGGTGGTTTAACAAACAGGTAAACTACCAGTTTGCTATTGAAAATGCCCCATTTAGTTCGTTGAATTACCCAAGATTGTCCAAAGCTGAATTAGTTTATAGTTTACCAGAGGGTTAACGAACAGGAGATTGATGAAATTAATAGGACTTTAGTTTAGGGACTTAACCAAAAGTGGTTTGATATTGTGATGATTGGATATTCATAGGACTTAGTAGTTCATATTGGTTGCTGCAGTGCCTAGGGCTTAATATGAATTATTATAACCGCTTATCACTCCAACTGCACAGTAGCACCGCAGCAGCTTGGATAAGGTACTCGTATCTGCAGTATCCGAAAGCACATCCCAATGACCTTCCAGTGTCATCAAACATGGCTAGCTGGAACTCCAGTAAGCTCAAGGATTTTTCCAGCTCTAAATGCTCCATTTAGTTCAAGGATTTTCCGAGCTTGCCATGTTTGATTACTGTATCCCATTATCTTTCGATTAAAGCCATATTTGCTGATGGTCGAACCTCCATTTATCCCATAGTTTCTCAATGTTTCTCACATTTTCCCATGTTTTTCTCATATTTTATAGGTATATTCCCCGCCATGTTGACAGCAGTAGGGTTTGAGCCTGGCTCGAGGCATTCACATCACGTCGGCCCTCTACCTTGGATGTTTGTTCAAGGGGATGACTGTGGGGTAGCCCTGAGTCTTTATCAATCTTTATCATCGAAATGATATATGTTATTACATATAGTTACATATAACTAAACAATTGGACGACATAATATGCACATGAAATAGACATATATACGATATAATTTCAGATCATGTCGTGACATATTCCAATCGCATCAAATTGCGTCACAACGATTTACCAACTTCGGGGATTCTCCCGGTATTTGGGTGTGAGTCCCTGGGTCGCAGTCCGCGCCCCTGAAAAAAAAAAACCTCCTAGGTGACGGCATTGCCGCCTTGGAAGCCTGGGGAGAAGCTAGATCTGTGCCCCCAGCGATGAACAAAATGGGTCAAGGCGCCATTTTTTAGCAGCTATAATGGGGGTCCCAGCACGCCGCCAGTATCCCAAATGAAGTACTATAATCATAATATGTCCCGATAAACTAGAAGATAGAAGATATTATATATAGATATTTGTTTTCAAATAGAAGATGCAATTTGGAGGTGCGGGCAGGGCCGTTTCAAAGACAGTAGAAGATATTGCAATTGCAAAACGAAGAAAATGCGAGAATCAACCCCTCAACATTGGGAACATCTTTGCCGTATCTTCTGTTTGAAAATCCTTTGTCCCACGGCCTCTTTCCGTGGTTACAGAGAAAAGTGCCAACATCACGAGAACAAAGTAGCTCCCAAGTTGGACCCTAGACCCGGCCAGGCGTCATTTTGCATTCCTGTCACTTTGAGGGGTTTTGGGGAAAAGTGGTAAAACAAAAACCTATAGATTTTTGTTTGCTTTTTTTGACCTGAAAAAATGTCGAAATTCACATAGAAGAAGGGTTCTTCCAAATCACCAAAGATCGGAATATGATTCATATGATCGAACTTTCTACCAAAGTGGGAAGATCCCCTACTGGTATCGGTCAGATTTCCAAAACGGCCAGAACTGCTGTTTGGAATGTTTAAGGGGGATTGAAATAGATCCAGAAAGTGGGATCCGATTGGAATATTGACGACGATGTCAAATGATGTCAATAGTTATTTTGAATGCCTTTTTGCACGTGAGGCTTGAACATTTGAACATGCTCTAAACATGTGTTTCCATGTTCTTTTTGTTCAATAGCCATTACGCGCGGCAAGATGGGCAAGATAACAAGACTTTGCATGTTAGCCAAAGCAAGTTGTGAGGAACATGAGTCATAACTATTCTTTGGTGGGATGTTTGGATTTCATAGAGCTGTGATTTCTTTACAGAGGTTTTAACTATATAATTATATATGTACGTATGTTGAATTATATGAATATATGTATACTAATGTATATATATATATATATTATAGTATATATTTGATATATATATATACAATACAACATATATATATATGTATATACAATATAACATATGTATACACAATATAACATATGTATTTATATATAATAAACGATTTGTTTGAACTCATTTATGCACCTCGGAACTATGGAGTGCTCCGGTTCTGGGGATCGAAGCGGAAATTGCTCCAGGTATATCCACTGGGGGATTTCTATCGAGAGGACGATGATGTGATGAGAGGGATTACGTCAGCTGTCCCCAGGGGCGGAGTGACGGCTGAAGTGAAGTGAAGACTAGTCTTGGGGAGTACCCCAGTTTGTTGAAAACACCATAAAACACCATATTTGGGTTAAAAAACAAGGTAGGAACACCCTGAGAACGAGGTAGGCATCGCATGTACAGCATTTAACTAATGATAAAACCAAATGCTTGGTTGGAGAATGAGGTCAGGCCCCAAAAAACCTTAAGGAAATGGAGAACGAGGTAGGAACACCCCGTGAAGGTAGGAACACTCCGTCGATTTCGTGAGGTGCCACGTACTTTCCACGGCTATGGGTTTGTCGGAAAATGGGGTATCTCAAACTCATTCAAACTCCATTCATTTACTCCATTTTGAACATGGGATGGCGCTAATTCTTGAAATGCGCCATCTATAGACCACTTGAGGGATGGGATGTTTTGCGCAATCTATAGGTTCCCGACACACGTGGTTGAAAACAACCTGTTTTCCTCTAGGTTAGTTTAAACTTAGTATTAAGATCTGGGGTCCATTTTTTTTGGGAAAACCATAACTTTGGATTGCGCCATCTATAGGTTACGCCTGCGTTCCATTTGTAAAGGGAAAAGGAAAGGAGGAGGGAAAGGAGAAAGGAGAAAGGAGAAGGAGAAAAAGAAAGGGAAAGGGAAAGGAGAAAGGGAAAGGAGAAAGGAGAAAGGAAGAAAAGAGAAAAGGAAAGGGAAAGGAGAAAGGGAAAGGAGAAAGGGAAAGGAGAAGGGGAAGGAGAAAAGAGAAAGGAGCAGGGACACGGAAAGGAGAAAGAAGAAAGGAGAAAGGGAAAGGAGAAAGGAGAAAGGAGAAGAGGAGAAGAGGAGAAGAGAAGAAGAGGAGAAGAGAAGAAGAGGAGAAGAGGAGAAGAGGAGAAGAGCTGAAGAGGAGAAGAGAGAAGGGAAAGGCAAAGGGAGAGGGAAAGGAGAAGGGGAAAGGAGAAGGGGAAAGGAGAAAGGAGGAGGGAAAGGAGAAAGGAGAAAAAGGAAAGGGGAGAGGAGAAAGTGAAATGGGAAAGGGAAAGGAGAAGGGGAAAGGAGAAAGGAGAAAGGGGAAAGGGGAAAGGAGAAAAGGAAAGGGGAAAGGGACAGGAGAAGGGGAAAGGGGGAAGGTAATGAGAAAGTTAAAGGAGAAAGGGTAAAGGGAAAGGGAAACGAGAACACTGAGGGGTTCTTACGGTAAGTGTTAAGGCCCGGTGTTCAATCGAGGTGGTATCCGCACCGTTTGGCTTTCCCCCTATAAATTTCCACACAAAATGGCTCTTGTGAAATGCCCATGTGCATTTCGACTGCGCAGGCTCGCACAAAACGATGTCCGCCGGAGGTGTCCCCGACCATTTTTCCTGTAAATTTCCACAAAATCGCTCTTGTGAAATGTCCATGCGCATGTCGCCTGCACAGGCTCACACAAAGTGTGCTTCCCGATCCGTCTTCCTCCTCAACATCATCCTCCTGCACATCATCATCATCATCATCATCATCATCATCATCATCATCATCATCATCATCATCATCATCGTCATCATCATTCTCATGATCGTCATCATCATTCTCATGATCATCTCATCATCATTCCCATCATCATCATCATCACCATCATCATCATCATCGTCATCATCATTATCCTCATCACCATCGCCATCACCATCGCCATCACCATCGCCATCACCATCGCCATCACATTCATCATCATCATCATCATCATCATCATCATCATCATCATCATCATCATCATCATCATCATCATCATCATCATCATCGTCATCGTCATCGTCATCGTCATCGTCATCATCATCGTCATCGTCATCGTCATCCTCGACGTCATCGTCATCGTCATCGTCATCGTCATCGTCATCGTCGTCGTCATCGTCGTCATCATCATCATCGTCATCATCATCATTCTCATGATCATCATCATCATCATCGTCATCATCGTCATCAACATCAATTAACATCATCATCATCATCATCATCATCACCACCACCACCACCATCACCATCGCCATCGCCATCACCATCATCATCATCACCACCATCATCATCATCATCATCATCAACATCAACATCAAGTAACAGCATCATCAACATTATACTACATTATCCTTTTAAATTACTCCCCCCACACTGTTTGGGGTCTCTTGCCGGGATATTTTTTTAAGGCCTATATCCAATCATTTACCATCATGTTCCCTATTAAGAGGCTATTTTGGGGGTATACCCCATTTTCAGGCACACCCACCTTGCTTTTGCCATTCCAGCCCCCTTGGTTTCGGTGATTGTATGAATTTGCTTCTGTTCCATCCCTTTAAAACTGACTCTTGAAGCAGTGATGGTACTGGAGATTTAAGGTAAATGACCAGTAGTACCGCACAAGGCGGCGGCGCAAGTTTCAAAGATCAGATAGGAAAGTATAGGAGAGGTGACGTGAGTTGTTGTGATGCATGGATGGCAGAGCGACTCCACTGATGGACCGAAAGGTGGTTGCGGTTGGAGTTATGCTTTTTGGAGTGTTTGCAGTGGTCACCTCACCCACAACTGCTGGATGTAGTGTGGTGTAGTGTAGTTGTAGTTCTAGTTGTAGTGTAGTGTAGTGTAGTGTAGCGCCGTGCAGTGCAGTTGTAGTGTAGTGTAAACATAGTTGTAGCTGTAGTAGTAGAATTAGTAGGAGTAGTAGGAGTAGGAGTAGGAGTAGAGTAGTAGTAGTAGAAGAAGTAGTAGTAGTAGTAGTAGTTGTTGTTGTAGTTGTAGTCGTCGTCGTAGTCGTAGTAGTCGTAGTAGTCGTAGTAGTCGTAGTAGCAGGAGTAGTAGGAGTAGTAGCAGTAGTAGGGGTAGTAGGAGTAGTAGGAGTAGTAGGAGTAGTAGGAGTAGTAGGAGTAGTAGTTGGAGTCGGGAAAAGGGGTAAAAGAGTAAAGGAATATAAGGAGTATAGGAGTAGAGGAGGAGGGGAGCAGGGGAGTAGGGGAGTAGGGGAGCCGGGGGGTAGGGGAGTAGGGGAGTGGGGGAGTAGGGAAGTAGGGGAGTAGGGGAGTAGGGGAGCAGTGGGGGTAGTCGCCGTCAAAGTAGCAGTAGTAGCAGCAAGAGTTTTAGTAGCAGCAGGAGGAGGAGTAGTAGTGACAGCAGGGGCTTCAGTAGGAGTAGGAGTGGGAGTAGTAGTAGTAGTAGTAGTAGTAGTAGTAGTAGTAGTAGTAGTAGTAGTAGGAGTAGTAGTAGTAGTAGTAGTAGTACTGTAGTACTGTTGTAGTAGTAGTAGTAGTAGTAGCAGCAGCAGTAGCAGTAGTAGGAGTAGCAGTAGTAGTAGTGGTGGTGGTGGTGGTAGTAGTAGTAGTGGTGGTAGTAGTAGTAGTAGCAGTAGTAGTAGTAGTAGTAGCAGTAGCAGTAGCAGTAGCAGAAGCAGTAGCAGAAGCAGTAGGAGTAGGAGTAGGAGTAGGAGTAGGAGTAGCAGTAGGAGTAGTAGTAGTGGTGGTGGTGGTAGTAGTAGTAGTAGTAGAAGTAGTAGCAGTAGTAGAAGTTAAAGAAGAAGAAGAAGAAGTAATAGTAGTAGTAGTAGGAGTAGTAGTAGGAGTAGTAGTAGTAGTAGTAGTAGTCGTAGTAGTAGTCGTAGTAGTAGTAGTAGTAGTAGTAGAGGTAGTGGTAGTGGTAGTGGTAGTAGTGGTAGTGGTAGTGGTAGTAGTGGTAGTAGTGGTGGTAGTGGTGGTAGTAGTAGTAGTAGTAGCAGTAGTAGCAGTAGTCGTAGTCGTAGTCGTAGTCGTAGTCGTAGTAGTAGTAGTAGTAGTAGTTGTTGTTATAGAAGTAGTAGTAGTAGTGGTGGTGGTGGTAGTAGTAGTAGCAGCAGTAGCAGTAGTAGGAGTAGGAGTAGTAGGAGTAGGAGTAGCAGTAGTAGTAGTGGTGGTGGTGGTAGTTGTAGTAGTAGTGGTAGTAGTAGTAGTAGTAGTAGCAGTAGTAGTAGTAGTAGTAGTAGTAGAAGCAGTAGCAGTAGCAGTAGCAGAAGCAGTAGCAGAAGCAGTAGGAGTAGGAGTAGGAGTAGCAGTAGGAGGTGGAGTAGTAGTAGTGGTGGTGGTGGTGGTAGTAGTAGTAGTAGTAGGAGTAGCAGTAGGAGGAGGAGTAGTAGTAGTGGTGGTGGTGGTGGTAGTAGTAGTAGTAGCAGGAGTAGTAGTAGTAGTAGTAGTAGTAGTAGTAGTAGTAGTAGTAGTAGAGGTAGTGGTAGTGGTAGTGGTAGTAGTGGTAGTGGTAGTGGTAGTAGTGGTAGTAGTGGTGGTAGTGGTGGTAGTAGTAGTAGTAGTAGCAGTAGTAGCAGTAGTCGTAGTCGTAGTAGTAGTAGTAGTAGCAGTAGTAGTAGTAGTAGTAGTAGTAGAAGCAGTAGCAGTAGCAGTAGCAGAAGCAGTAGCAGAAGCAGTAGGAGTAGGAGTAGGAGTAGCAGTAGGAGGTGGAGTAGTAGTAGTGGTGGTGGTGGTGGTAGTAGTAGTAGTAGTAGGAGTAGCAGTAGGAGGAGGAGTAGTAGTAGTGGTGGTGGTGGTGGTAGTAGTAGTAGTAGTGGGAGTAGTAGGAGTAGTTAGTAGTTAGTAGTTAGTAGTTAGTAGTTAGTAGTTAGTAGTTAGTAGTTAGTAGTCAGTAGTCAGTAGTCAGTAGTTAGTAGTTAGTAGTTAGTAGTTGGTAGTTAGTAGTTAGTAGTTAGTAGTTCGTAGTTCGTAGTTCGTAGTTCGTAGTTCGTAGTTCGTAGTTCGTAGTTCGTAGTTCGTAGTTCGTAGTTCGTAGTTCGTAGTTCGTAGTTGGTAGTTGGTAGTTGGTAGTTGGTAGTTGGTAGTTGGTAGTTGGTAGTTGGTAGTTGGTAGTTGGTAGTTGGTAGTTGGTAGTTGGTAGTTGGTAGTTGGTAGTTGGTAGTTGGTAGTTGGTAGTTGGTAGTTGGTAGTTAGTAGTTAGTAGTTAGTAGTTAGTAGTTAGTAGTTAGTAGTTAGTAGTTAGTAGTTAGTAGTTAGTAGTTAGTAGTTAGTAGTTGGTAGTTGGTAGTTGGTAGTTGGTAGTTGGTAGTTGGTAGTTGGTAGTTGGTAGTTGGTAGTTGGTAGTTGGTAGTTGGTAGTTGGTAGTTGGTAGTTGGTAGTTGGTAGTTGGTAGTTGGTAGTTAGTAGTTAGTAGTTAGTAGTTAGTAGTTAGTACTTAGTACTTAGTACTTAGTACTTAGTACTTAGTACTTAGTACTTAGTACTTAGTAGTTAGTAGTTAGTAGTTAGTAGTTAGTAGTTAGTAGTTAGTAGTTAGTAGTTAGTAGTTAGTAGTTAGTAGTTAGTAGTTAGTAGTTAGTTAGTTGTTAGTTAGTAGTTAGGTAGTAGTAGTAGTAGTAGTAGTAGTAGTAGTAGTAGTAGTAGTAGTAGTAGTAGTAGTAGTAGTAGTAGTAGTAGTAGTTATAGTAGTAGTAGTAGTTATAGTAGTAGTAGTTATAGTAGTAGTAGTTATAGTAGTAGTAGTTATAGTAGTAGTAGTTATAGTAGTAGTAGTTATAGTAGTAGTAGTAGTAGTAGTAGTAGTAGTAGTAGTAGTAGTAGTCGTAGTAGTAGGAGGAGGAGGAGTAGTAGTAGTAGTGGTGGTAGTAGTAGTCGTCGTAGTAGTAGTTGTCGTAGTAGTAGTAATTGTAGGAGTAATACTAGTATAGTAGTTGTTGTTGTGGTTGTGGTTGTGGTTGTTGTGGATTGTGGTGCTGTTGAGCATCCAGCAGTGGTCCGAGCATGTGGTGTTTTAGCATTTTGACCTTGAAATGCGTGTCGTGCCACAGCTTCGTGCAATTTTTTAATTTTTCACCTCCCCAGATGGCTCTGCACCTGCCGCTTTAGGAAGCCTACTTGCCGACCCTCCGGAGCCACAAAACATTCGCAAAGCACAGTGTGTCGCGACTTCTCTACCTTTTCGCCCTGGATCCTCTTTCTTACTGCCTTTTTCTTCTCAGATCTTCTTTCTTCTGCCTTTCTCTTCTCTGACTCTTCCTACCTTCGCTTTTCCATCTGTCCATATTGTTGGAAGTTTGACTTCTAAACTTCCTTCGACGAGCTTTAAACTATGGAAATCATAATCTTTCAACCTTTTAATATAGACAAACCACTTATAAATATAAATGGGCCATATTCCATCGCAAACTCTATCTTTTAATAAAAAATCCAATTCGCACGTACAAATTCCCACAGCAAACCGTAACAAATGACCAGAGGCTATGCCATTGAGCATTCCCACAGATAGCCAAGGATCAGCACCCCAGACATGCCCGAACCTCGTGAGAGCTTTAATCTGCCAGAGGCTGCTGCGGGAACGGTAAACCAACTGGTGACGAATGGTTGGGGAACGATTGGCGAATGGTTGGGGAATGAGTGTTTTGATGTGTCTTGCCATTTTTAGTTTCAATTTTTTGAAGCCATGAAATAGAGGAATTGGTTGTGGACGACGATCCCGCCCATTTTGGACTGATATTGAATCGTGACATGTCACAGCCATTGAAAGATGTCACGCATTAAAAAAAAACATTTAAGCAACTCGAGACTCTTGATAGATCCATAGGTAAGACATGAACCTGAAATGTGGGGCGTGCATATCCAACATCAACCATACATTTAGATTTTTCGTTTTTTCGGGATTAGATTTGCTTACCATGTGTGCCTCTATGTTTTATTTTTTCTTGCTGGGGATCAACGAATGACAAAGTCATGACTCAGATACTCCCAGTTTTGTCGCTTGTGTACCGATACATCATAGAATATAAGGCTTATATAAGGTCCCAAAATGAATCCCCCCAAATTAATCCCAATGATGGATGGTCTTAGCCAGTCTTAGCCCAATAGTTTATCTTGATCGTAACAGGTTTTTGACGCTGGATGGAAAGACCTTAACCTATGCGCATGGGTCCAACGACCCACGGCTATCCTCAGGTTTTTGCGGATTGCTGGGCACCCCATAGTTGTGTTGACAATATTTAACGATCATCATATATGATCATTTATAATATAAATATACATACGTAATTCATACGTATAGATGTAAATAATTATACCACCATATCCCATAGGATCCATGTATGCTATATATGGTAACATTTACCATCAATAAACCCCAAATGTTAGCATATATATATACCATACATGGATCCTATGGGATATGGTGGTATACCTATGGCACAAGATGTACGGATGGCGCCTGGATTCCAGGTTTTGGCGCCCCGTGACTGGATGAAACCTTTCAAGGGGAGCTCGTCAGAGGACCCCAAGTGCACCATGTGCATGGCGGAGAATTGCGTGCAGATGTGCTATGTAATTATTTATTATAGCAATATATGTTAATTATATGATTATATATATATAATAGTATGTATATATGTATATATGGAGAGACTACAATAAATGTCTGTACTAGATTATACTAGTATATATATATATACACATATAAGCACTGTGAACAATATGTGTATATATGTAGTGCGATACTATGACTGAAAAAAAGGTTCTTCAACTGTGTGGTCCAGTGGAACATGAAAATGTGGGTATCAACTCAACGATGGGGTGGCATAGGAATACCATGATAACCTGACCTGGCGATGGGAAAAAAGGGGAGAAATTACCATCCACAAATGGGGAGAATAGGCATTGCCTGGTTAGATTGCTGTACCAGAAGAGGCATGGGCCCAATGACACACACGGTGTTAGGTTATGACATGAAGGCATCATCCCAGTTGGTTGGTGGGGCTTGCGGCCACAGCAAAACTAACATCATACGCAGTCCTGTGAAGAACACCGCTACTAGGTGAAAAACAATATGAAACAGCCAACATACCACCGACACTTCACCAACATACAATCAACGTGCCACCATTGTAACACCATCGTACCACCATCGAAGCACCAACATAACAACCAACTAAACATGCTCCATGCTCCTGGCAACATCATTTCAAAAAGTGGATTTGTTATGATTTACTCAAATCCTTCCAACTTCGTTTGGATGAGTGCATCAAAAAGAAACTCCAGGTGTCGCAGGTGATCGTTGCAGTACGTTGCAGTTTCAACTCAAGTTATGCCCGACACAATCAATGGCCGGGTTGTGTCTATTGTGCCCATGGGACTTCACCCAAGGTGAACCCTGGTGGTCACGATGAAGCGATCAAACATGGCTCGAGCATTGGGCACCCAAAGTGCACCCAATTTGGGCTACAGCCGTATTCCTTCCGTCAGCCGTGCCATCTCTGCAATCTGCCATCGGCGTCGAGATTCTCCATTGCAAGTGGAGTTTGTTGGGGGTTCCACACGCTGGCGTTTCGTCGAAGACGATTTCAACGAATCTGAATCTGATTCCCAGCCGAAGACCAGGAGAGTTAGACCATCAAACACATCAGCATCAAGGTCATCAAGTCAGGCTTGCTTGCACGAAGTGACCATTGCAGCTGGTTGGGGCCAGAAATCTGAGCGCGAAAAACGCATGGAGAAATTGACCTCCAAGTTGGGGTATACTCCTGGACTTCCACGGCAGAGGGGTGACTTGGCTGGGTGCTACCGGTGCTACCTGCCATGGGGAGAAAGAAGCAGGGACATCGAGCAATAGCTGTGGCTAAAAAGCATGAACCTGTATAAAGCTTGACGATTTCATCATATTTCATCATTTTTGATATAAGCAATGATGCCATCAAAATTCTGGGTCTATCTGGGTCCATTGGGATTTGTTGATGGCTTTTTGAAGAGTGGTCCAAAAGCGTGTTTTTAATGCTCCCAAATACGGAGAGCGGATCTCACAACACACAGCTGCTGCTGTGGTTTCACAGTTGACTTGAAAAATTACTGTCATATTTTCCAGATGATGATCTGAAACCACAAAATTAAACCTGGGATGATGATCCTTATTGACTTTCATATGTTCCAGATGGCTGAGCCGACTTTTGGGGATTAGAGGGTAAACCTTGGTGAATGGTAGGTGAAAATTGAACGTTTGGTGTATTTATAGCCATAAATGCAGAAATGTGATATGCTACACTGCTACAAACAAAACTTTTGTGCAGGGTATTTATAAAGTTTGCCATATTCAGTTCCCTTTCACTTCGAATTCAACTGTTGCTTACCGGAACAAGTTGTTTTTGGTGCTCAGGAAATCTGTGCAGTCTAGTAATCTTTACTGGATAGATATAGATAGATTGTTCTTTTCCTGCTGTCCAAGAATATTTTGAGCTGGGATCTGTACTTAATCTACAGCTTTGTCCGAGAGGCTGCACCCTTCCAGTCAAATGTGGTTTATCCCTTCCCACCAGAACCTCAGGTGGTGAATCTCGCTTAGACAGCTTCCTCCCCGCGGAATACCGGGCCGGAGCCTTCGATTTCAAGGCACCAGTAGCACCCAAGCCGCGCTCGACCTATTCTGGTGATGTGAAGCTTGAAACACGGCAAAATCTGAGAATTCTGAAGATGCCCCCAGATGGAGATCGCTTGGTGGTGAAACGCTGGACAGCGGGATTTTTCGAGGCATCCTCACGACAACTGGAGCCGGGATGGTGACGCAACTGCGGCAATGCCGCGTCTCGTGATTAGCATAGCTTACTGGGCTCGGGCAAAGAAGATTTCAAGTCACATGTCATCAGCTAAGGACCAAAACAGGTTGAAACTGTCAGGAGATGTGTGGTTGATCGATTGATGTAATGAATACAGATTTCACATTCCAATCATGGTATCTTTGTTTCACACTCACAATATCTCACAATTCATACATGCGTCCATATATTTATGTACAGCCCAGCCAGATCCCTGCCGTCAGGGAAGTCCTTAGTCTCGCTCACGCGGCAAAATGTTTTAACGATGCTCCGGCGGATGGTCATGGAAGGGCTGAAGAATCGGGATGGTTGATAGGACTTTATCATATTTTATCGGCAGGATCCCAGGATGTGTGGCGGGATGCGCCACCAACATCCACCAACAACATGACAGGGGTCTGAAATTGATGGATTCACCTCCCACTGGTTCCATAGATTCCATCAGTTGGGAAGAACCGTCATTTCGTGGTACAGACACATGCGGCTGATTTGATTTGGTCTTCTCTTTTCAAAGACCACCCGGATTTTCTGTGCAATCGTCATTATAGATTGGTTTAAGATGTTTAATCTACAGGAAACACTGGTTCTTCCCATGAAATGTTTCCTATGGTTTTTCCCATGAAAGATGGGGTTTTCCCGTGGTTTCCCCAAAAAAATGCTATATCAATCCATCGACCCCAACTCGGCGCAGGTTGAACACCGGGATGGAGATGCAGCGCTGGTGTTTCACGAATCTGCGTGGTGCCCTGGGGCGACCTTTCTTTCGGACCTATATAGCGCTGGTTCCGCGTGGGGTTTTGCCATGCTCATTTGGGATATGAATTGGAAAAAATATGTAAGGCTTTTGCTGTTTATTTTGCCATATTCATATCAAAAAGGTCAATGTCAGGGATATGAATTGGAATGGAACATAGGTCTGGTCCAAAGCCTTGTAAAACGAACACGACCTTTTGTAACGAAGGAAAAAATGATATTCCATTTTGAGGCAATATAGAGTTTTGGAGGTAGCTCATTTACCATCATTACAGGACGGCAACCCAATCCACCAGGATTTGTTTCCGAAAATCTGAAGAGAGAGACATTTGGACCAGCCGTATTAGTTAAAACTTCCAGTCACCCGAGATTTTTGTTTGTTTTGAATTGATTCCATCCCATAAAATTGTTCGATTGGCATTTTGAAGTGGTGAAACCATAGGTCCATACTGGGATCCCAGCATGGGTTCAGAGGAGTTTTTGGTGCTGTGGATTGTAATGGCAGCAATGGGTTCAACCAATTTCAAGCTCTGTCAATTTGTAGAATCTTCCCTTAACCTCTGTGATTTTCTAGAATTTTCATTATTTTTCAACCAAATTTTGATCTCCAGGTCCTTGAGGGAAAAGTTTGACCAAAACGACCTCCCAGGATGTGCTTCCGAAGTTTCCAGAGAGCCACTTAGTGGAGGTTCAAGATGTGTGGGTCAACCTCTGCTCCAATTTAGTGTTCTTTTTGGGGCGTTGACTATTGAACTATGCAATGTTTGGGATTGTCTAACTTGGACTAAGATCCATTTGGTGTCTAGGTCAATAGCTTGTACAACCTAAAGTGAAATTAAGGTGTTCTATTCATTGAGGCTTTGCTTAAACCCTAATTTGTGACGGGCGGAAAATGTTCAAGAGCCTCCTCAAACAACGGTTGATAAAGAATCCAAACAAACAGTAGAAGCCAATATGGCTAGTCTTTGAGAGACCATGAAAGGCCTGGGAATTGCTGTGGGATGGATCGTAAATTCATGCAATTTCTCCATAAGCAGATGCCCAAAAAGTGTTGTCATTTCTCCTGCAAAAATCGTGATTGATGCAGTGAAACAATGATGTATGAAGGCTGAAATATCTGAAATGGTGATATCTCATGATTTCTCATGATGTGACCGCATTTGTCCGGCAGTAACTGTAGCTCGAGATTTGGCGCGAACGAATTGCTTCAAGTGAGCATATCACTCGCTAGTTGCGGTGAAACTCTGTCACTTCCTGAACCGTCCAGAGTGGGAGACTTGAAAATTCTCTCAGAAAGATCACTCAGTCAGGGCTTCCTGAAACATTCACTGTTCTGTACAATCCTATGCAATCCTTGCAAGCCGCAGGGGGTCAACAACTTCAGCAGTGTCATTCCGCTGCATTTTGCAGCAGGTTGCTGCCCCGTGCAGCGGAGTGACACCGCTGTTGTGTGCCGACTGTTCCACAGTGCAAGATCGGCTCAGCAAAGTGCAGCAACTTCAAGCCACAGAGCGTGCATTTGCCGCGATATTGGCCGATGGATTGGTGACTACCTGGGGCGATCGATGCAGACAAACGCCACGTTGCTGTGGTCTCATTTTTTCCTGGCAGAGGACCTCCAGACAACTACAGCGGTGTCATTCCGCGGCATTTTCCAGCAGGTTGCTGCCAAATGCAGCGGAGTGACACCGCTGTTGTGTGCCGACTGTTCCACAGTGCAAGATCGGCTCAGCAAAGTGCAGCAACTTCAAGCAACAGAGCGTGCATTTGCCGCGATATTGGCCGATGGATTGGTGACTACCTGGGGCGATCGATGCAGACAAACGCCACGTTGCTGTGGTCTCATTTTTTTCTGGCAGAGGACCTCCAGACAACTACAGCGGTGTCATTCCGCGGCATTTTCCAGCAGGTTGCTGCCAAATGCAGCGGAGTAACACCGCTGTAGTTGTGTGCCGACTGTTCCACAGTGCAAGATTGGCTCAGCAAAGTGCAGCAACTTCAAGCCACAGAGCGTGCATTTGCCGCGATATTGGCCGATGGATTGGTGACTACCTGGGGTGATCGAGACTAAGGTGGTGACGGTTCTGCAGTCGAAGACCCCACATCCCTTCGCTGCTGCACGTTCCTAAGCCATATTTTTCGGGCAAACCCAAAACATTTTGTTGGTTACGAATGGTTACGACCCATTCTACTAGAAATACCCATGATTGAATAATATACAACTATGATATTCTTATTTTCCTTAAAATATCTTAAAATATGTTTGACAGGACACCCAATATTTGGACAGACCCATAGTTATTTCCGCACATCCCTTAAATCTACCATAAGTTTGCTGGTCAAGTCCCAATGTTTGCTGGTGAAATCTCAATTTTTCTGCCTTGTATCCAAAATGCATCACTTTCTGGATGAAAGACCCATCTGCTGCAGGTGATGTTGCTTCCTGAGTGAACGGCTTCAAACAAAAAAATGGATGGCAGTTGGGTTGACACATGTTGACACAAGATTCCTCCAAAAGTTGATTGTGATTTATGGCCATGTTCATGAGAACATCATGATGCACGGCTGGATATTGGGGGTGCTGTGATTTCCGCGATCTTTGCCGACGAATTGGTAGTTACTTATTTACTTGGGGCTTTCCATTCTGCTTTCCGTACAGGGGTAGCAGACAAAGACCACACGACGGTGGCTTAATTTCTCTTGGAAAACCGGTGCGGCAGAGGACGTACAGACAACTCCAGCGGTGTCATCTCGCGGCATGTTGAACCAGGTTGCTGCCTCGTGCAGCGCGGTGACAGTAGTTGTGTGCAGACTGTTCCACAGTGCAAGATCATGCAAGATCGGCTCAGCAAAGTGCAGCAACTTCAAGCCACAGAGCGTGCATTTGGCGCGATATTGGCCGATGGACTGGTGACTACCTGGGGCGATCGATGCAGACAAACACCACGTTGCTGTGGTCTCATTTTTCCTGGCAGAGGACCTCCAGACAACTACAGCGGTGTCATTCCGCGGCATTTTCCAGCAGGTTGCTGCCAAATGCAGCGGAGTGACACCGCTGTAGTTGTGTGCCGACTGTTCCACAGTGCAAGATCGGCTCAGCAAAGTGCAGCAACTTCAAGCCACAGAGCGTGCATTTGCCGCGATATTGGCCGATGGATTGGTGACTACCTCGGGCGATCGATGCAGACAAACACCACGTTGCTGTGGTCTCATTTTTTCCTGGCAGAGGACCTCCAGACAACTACAGCGGTGTCATTCCGCGGCATTTTCCAGCAGGTTGCTGCCAAATGCAGCGGAGTGACACCGCTGTTGTGTGCCGACTGTTCCACAGTGCAAGATCGGCTCAGCAAAGTGCAGCAACTTCAAGCCACAGAGCGTGCATTTGGCGCGATATTGGCCGATGGATTGGTGACTACCTGGGGCGATCGATGCAGACAAACACCACGTTGCTGTGGTCTCATTTTTTTCTGGCAGAGGACCTCCAGACAACTACAGCGGTGTCATTCCGCGGCATTTTCCAGCAGGTTGCTGCCAAATGCAGCGGAGTGACCGCTGCAGTTGTGTGCCGGCTGTTCCACAGTGCAAGATCGGCTCAGCAAAGTGCAGCAACTTCAAGCCGCACGAATTTCCGGTGGTGACTGCCCAGCAGTTAAGAGTTGGTCTCTGCAGACCTCCGCGGACCAACAGGTACCAAACAGGGTACCTCCATGTCAATGGTTTTTCTGCGACAGATCAAAAAGTCCTAGCTGACGTTGCCTTCCGCACATTGGTAAGCTTTCAAAACCTATTGTATATACGTATATATATATATACTTTCACGATAGGTGTACTGTAGCGAATTCAAGACGCAGTGGCATTTTCAGAATTTTGCCTCTATAGAGGGAGAGAGAGAGAGATATAGGTGAACCATGGTAAGGCAACTGAAGATGCTGAAAAAGATCTCCAGTGTACCTAATCCCATCCTGGATTGGCCAGAGCCGAGCTAGATGTTTTTCCCGCTTGATTTGGAGCGGGAACACCACAGCGAGATCAATGTTTGCTAAAGTCTTCAATCTCTGGTTGGTGGTTTGGAACATTTTTTATTTTCCCATATATTGGGAATAATCATCCCAACTGACTAATATTTTTCAGAGGGGTTGAAACCACCAGCCAGTAAAGTGAATAGAACCTAAAGACTTTAATCCTAGGATTGTGTTTGAACATCGGCTAATCAGCGAGATTCAAACAGCAAACGAAGGCTTGCAAAACACGTGATTCATCCTGCAGAGATGTTGATTCATCCAGCCAACATAGTGTGGATATGATGGGGATATATAAGCAATGTGATGTACAATGATGGTGTGGAAAGAGCAACTTTCAGACGTCCAATGATGACTTTTGCATGTGAACATGGAGGTGTTGCATCCATGGTACCATTCTTCTGCTTTTGGAATTGGTTGAGTTTGGTTCCATAGTACATTTCTTCATGCCTGGCTTCCAAAGCATCTGTTTCAAGCACTTGAATTTCTTGGCATTATCATACAAAGACCCCGGATTTTCCGTCAGGGAACTGCACCTGACCCCTTCCCATGCCATGTTCATCCGACACAGAACATGACATGAATGACGGAGACCCAATTTATGTCTTGCAGCATGCACACAAAGTCATATGTAGAACACATATATTATATATAATTATATATACACATAAGTATATATATATATTTAAACGAAAGTTGTTGGATCACTAATCAATCTGGGGTGGTCAGAAACAGGGTAGCCCAAAATATCATGGTTCATCAGTTCATCATCATCTTGCCCATCTTGCCATTGTAATCTTTTGGGGGTCGTCCTCCAACCCACCATCCTCCGGCGTTTCACAAGCGTCAGGCCAAGACGGTCTATCTCAGCACTGAGGTACGGTCCAGCAAAGCCTGGCAGATTATGCAGTTTTCTCCCCCCCAAAAAACCCACTTGGAGTGATAGAACTTCTGATAGCACACTTGGAAGCGAAGCGAAGATAACACAAAATTCATCAAACTTTTCCAAACTTTAGCTGTACAGAGATAGAGGCCAGTGGCTGCTTTAAACAAAAAGACAAAAAACTACTGGTGGTTTGAAGATGAGATGATTTCCAGCGACCATGGTCAAGTTGTAGGGGATGAAATACCAAGTTTCGACCATGGGACATGCGGTAAGATAAAATGTTCAAAGTGTCCTGGATATGCCTTTCTATCTCTTTGAAACCACCCGAATCACACACACACATATATATATATACCAGTAGCACCGCACAAGGCGGTGGCGGAAGTTTCAAAAATAGGAAACCTATAGGAGAGGTTGGTTGTTGTGAATCACTGATGGCAGAGCGAAGCCACTGATGGACCGAAAGGTGCTTGAGGTCTCCTCTCTTTCTCTCTCTTTCTCTGAGTGTCTGTCTGTCCGTCCGTCCGTCCGTCCGTCTGTCTGTCTGTCTGTCTGTCTATCTATTTCTCTATCTATCTATCTATCTGTCTGTCTGTCTATCTGTCTATCTATCTATCTATCTACCTACCTATCTATCTATCTATCTATCTCTCTCTCTCTATCTATTTAGCTATCTAGCTATCTAGCTATCTATCTATCTATCTTTCTATCTATCTATCTATCTATCTCTCTATCTCCCTATGTCTCTATTCCTCTATCTCTCTATCTCTCTATCTCTCTATTTCTCTATCTATCTATCTTTCCTTTCGATCGATCTATCTTTCTATCTTTCTATCTTTCTATCTATCTATCTATCTATCTATCTATCTATCTATCTGCAAGCTTGCAAACGAAGCTATTCTTCGAGACTTCCTCAGTTTTTAAACTTGACAACATCAAACACGCAGCAATTCAGCGAGACTTCCTCAATTTTTGCATTTGACAACATCAAAAACGAAGCAATTCTGCGAGATTTCCTATTTTTTTTAAGTTGCCAACATCAAAAACGAAGCAGCTCTGCGAGACGTCCTTCAAAAATGGAAAAATGAGTGCAGAGCTGACGGCCTCGTACCATTGCGTTTTGCGATTTTTCCAGTCCATCTGTCTAAACTACTGCGCCTGCCACGCAAAAGTGATGCCAGGTCATACGAAGTGCTGCACCTGTCACGCAAAATCATCTCAGCAAACCTGAAAATCTGGGGCTCCAAAATGCAACCTCTCTCAGGAAATCAGCGCCCGGACCTCTTAACAGCTCTGATGAACATGTCTTTTGTACAGCGCCTGCCACGGAAATGCCACAAAACCCTCACCTTTTTTGCCCACTTTTGACAAGGTCCACAATCCCTTGCGCCTGCCACGCGAAACGACATCTGAATGTCCAAAAGTGGCTCGAACATGTGGTGCTTTGCACATTTTGACTTCCAAATGTGCTTCGCGCCACAACGGTGTGCACTTTTTCGACATCTCAACTTCCAAAAGTGGTCCGGAGCTGAGGTGCTTTGTACATTTTGACTTGGAAATGTGCTTCGCGCCACAACGGCGTGCACTTTTTCGACATCTCAACTTCCAAAAGTGGTCCGGAACTGTGGTGTTTTGTACATTTTGACTTGGAAATGTGCTTCGCACCACAACGGCCTGCAATTCTTCATCTCATCTGGCCAGCTGCCTCCGCACCCGCCGCTTTAGCGAGTCTACTTTTCGACCCTCTGGAGCCACAAATCATTGGAAAAACACAGTGTTTCGCGACTTTCCTATATACCTTTTCGCGCACCTGCATCTTGTTTCTTCTGACTCTTTCTCTTCTCTGATCTTCTCTCTTCTGCTCTTCTCTTTTCTTCCGCTCCACCTCTGCTTTTCATCTGTCCATATTGTCGGAAGTTCGACTTCTAAACATCCTTCGATAAGTGCATATATATATATATTATGTATGTATGCACGTCTAAATAGACATACAGCCAACAACTATTGATGAAGATACCAACCAGATTCTTGGAAAGTTGTTCCACAATGAACAAGTTTCTCCTGGTACAAACCCTGACGTGCTTTCAAAATCCGTACGATTGATACATGTTAAGTTCTTTGCAGGCACCATAAAAAGGTGAATTTCGTTCGCAAAAGTCTGAGGATACTTGGGATTTTTGTTCTAAAACCTAGGTTTCAGACCCCTTTTCATCACAATTCACCCAACATACCAACATTTTTGATGTGAAAAGGTTCCCCATTGGCACTGAGTTCAGGTTCCTTGTTGGAAGCTTGGCAATCGATTGTTGGGGGGCCCAGATTCCGGACCGGCCTTGGGCGACGGGCTCCAGCCGCTGAGGAAACAGCTTTTTCGCTTTTGAAATGACAAGAATTGAGACATAGAAAGTTTCGATATCCATTAAGATAGGTTTCCAAAAGGAATGAAGATCTCTTACTGAGACATTGATGATAGGTTATTTGCAGTAAGAGACATATCATGAAGCCATGTAACTATGCAAGCTATTTTCTTTCATGATTTCCTACCGGTATATAGAAACCGCGAAAAAGATGCGGAAAAGTTGAGCACCTGGAAAATATGGATAAAACATGATACACCACCATCAATGCCATCCCGGGGGTTGCTATATATTTCTGGGCAGCACGTTTTTGGAGACAAAGCACACGAACATGTGATCGAAGACCTTCGATGCCCTGCAAGAATGAATTCTTGCTGACACATGTTGTTTGGTCCTCGAAAGGGTGAAAATGCCAAACATCTTGGGCAAGGCACTCATCGAGAGTCTATTTTTTAGTTCCCCAAACAGTGTGTCCACACTGAGGGGCTCTTACGGTAGGTGTTAAGGCCCGGTGTTCAATCGAGGTGGTATCGGAAGCGTCCGGCATTTTCCCTGTGAATTTCTGCACAAAATGCCTCTTGTGAAATGTTCGTGTACATTTCGACTGCGCAGGCTCGCACAAAGTGTGCTTCCCGGTCTTGGGATCGGTCTTCCTCCTCAACATCATCCTCCTCAACATCATCATCATCTTCCTCCTCCTCCTCTTCAACATCCACATCCACATCCACATCTACATCCACATCCCCGTCCACATCCACATCCACATCCACATGCACATGCACATGCACATGCACATGCACATGCACATCATCATCATCATCATCGTCATCATCATCATCATCATCATCACCATCACCATCACCATCACCATCACCATCACCATCACCATCACCACCCTTATCGTCACCCTCATCGTCATCGTCATCATCATCAGCAGCATCATCATCAACAACACCACCATCATCATCATCATCAACATCATCAGCAACATTAACACCATCATCAACATTATAGTACATGATCTTTTTGCTCCCCCCACACTGTTTGGGGTCTCTTACCAGGATAATTCTGTGGCTGCTTCATCGTTGAGCCGTGCCCCGGTGACCACTACCTAACGCTTCAGCCGGACCTGCATGTGGGGATGTTCAAAATGCTCACAAACTCAGAACTCCCAATATCTAGTAAATACCCGCAATATAGCTAGATTAACAAACATTATCAATATCTATATACACATAACTCCGAATATCCATTATTAACTCCTAATTAACTCCTAATATCTGTGTTTGAACTTCAGTACCTTGTCATGCGGGCGCAATCCAAGGCCTCCAAAACCAGATCTGGGATGATTTCCCAACCGTTCCCATGTTTTTTCACGGGTATGAGGCTAAGTTTCCTCAGAGAGAAGGCGGTTTCACACATCAAAAAGGCCCGTTGTGGGATGAAATTGAACATGATTGAACATCACTGTCATTGTGGAAAATGCGGGGTTTTCACCATGTGTTTTCACCATGTGTTTTCGATCCAGACATGGGCCTGGACATCCTTGAACCACTTGTGGAAGAACAGTCACCAGGGTGGACCATGTACAGATTATATGATCAGAACATCGAACGGAACACACAAAATCATGGGGGATTTGGCAAAACAAAAAGGCGGCTGTGGTCAACAATCATGTTATGTGCAACTTGACTGGTTCGTGGTTCTTGTACAGCTTTACAAAAACTACTCCGCACTTGATATCATCCAAGAAAAAGGGATGATTGTGGCACCAAGTAGAATTGAACGCAGCAACCAATGCCCTTTTTTTTGTTTGCTCAACACTCAAACATGGCCGCCAAACGACCAGCCATGGTTCTGGCCCCGCCAGGTCAATAAAAAGAAGTATACAGTTCTGCTGGCATGGTTTCGATCAAGACGGGGGGAGGTTCACCTGTTTTGACCTTTTTTAGAGGCTGGTCTTAGGATCTGAAACTATCCATGTGGGAGCTGGAAAAAATGACCCATAGCCACTTTGTGTTGACCCAAACTGGGAAACCCACTAGTTTCCCAGTAGAGTCGTTTCCCCATTGCTGTACTCGTACCGTCCACGTGGTTTTATCCACTACCAAGAATCAATAGTCTTTTAAGAATACCAACGACCAACAGATGGATATATCGGTGGAGCATTCTGTATTACAAAAAAAGGCTGGCCAGTGAATCTGTGGGTATGAGATAGGCTTAGATGTTAACCGATTTTCCGATATGAAACACTGCAGATAGCTCTACGTTTGGTTCATCTTACAGAGATGATGGTAACACTTCCCATTTTGGTGCCTAGATTCTCAAGGTTAGTGACAGTCATGATACCATGCTCAGGATGATTGGGGGTTTTCCATTATCCACTGGGCACCTAGCTTTGCTTTCATGCATTTCTAAGGCTACCCCCAAAGCCATCCCCCCTGACAATGGGAGTTTAATTAGCCACCAGAAGGGTTGATGGGGGTCCACAGCCCCTTCACAGGGCCTTATTTGAGCTTTGTCTGAAAATAGGATACAAAATCTCCGCAAGGTTCATCACGTTTCCTTTCCAAGTTGCGCATAACTGTTGGGTGTACACCCTACAAAATGGGACCCTGGCTGTTTCGGGGATACCTGGCTGCAGCCCCTTCGAGATTGCACCGTGAAGGTGAAGGCACAGGTGCTTTGCAACGGTCTCGTTTGTGAGATCAAAATACGGGTGCGCCCAGTGATGGGTTGACGCAACGGTGCCGGGATGAGTTGTGCCAAGGGGCGAAAATGATCACGCTTAATCGCTGATTTTCGAAGGTCCCACCAAGGAAGCGGGTACGAAAAATTACTGAATATGTTGGTGGTTTGGAACATTTTTTATTTTTCCATATATTGGGAATAATCATCCCAACTGACTTTCATATTTTTCGGAGGGGTTGAAACCACCAACCAGCTGAATATGCTTCAGATGGCTTGAATGTGTTCGAGTTCCCAGCAAAAAAACGAGTTGAGTTCGTCTAAAGACAGGGTCCCCCGTAAGATCCCAGCGGTAATATCGTCTTCACCAACGTTCTTTATTAAAGGTACTATGAAATTTCCGGCTCTTTGGAAAACCCCAGATGCTTTTCATATGTTCAATCAAGAACCTGGGTTTTTCGTGTTATCACCTCCCTCCTGGGCTTCATATGTTAGGCCAGCCCACTCCGGCCCCTTCGTCAGGCTTATCGCTCAGCCAAAGAGATAGCGGTGGTCGTGCATCGACTTGGAGGCATGGACTTAGAACCAATGTGAGCTATTAAAGAAATACCAGTGCTAGTTCGTTATTGGGGGTTGCACTATCACTATCTAAATTATTGGGGATTATGATCACCCATAATAGCGGTACCCATTAACCTGCCAGTATAATTCATGGCTCATGTGGCATTTTTGGAGGTTCCCAGAATGGGTCCCAACTTTAAGAAACCTCCGTATGGAGATATCATGAGAATTTCATGAGATATCTTGACCACAAAAGAGCTGTTTAAATAGCAACAACAGACAACAGGGGTATTCAACCAAAATGGGAGATTAAAAAAGGGAATTTAGAATGGGTATATGATATATGTATATAAATGTATATAATACATATAAAGAAATTGTAGTATGAATCAAAAAACAAACATGAAGGTTCTAGTCACAAAATGTTCACGCAGGACAGGATTCAGGATGCAACATCATCCTTTAGCCACAACAAGACCTCAACGACGAAGTCGATAGCAGGATACAAGACGCTGAGGCTTGAGCAATTCCTAATGTGACAACCTACTGTGGATGGTCGCGAAATCCTGCACCAGTTGATGGTGGTTTATCCCATTCTTCAATAGGGTTTCAACCATCCAAGGTGGTGCAGGATTTCGCAACCATCCACAGTAGGATTTTGCCCAGCTCCAGATCATAGCAGGCGATAGCATCGCTTTCAACGCGTTGCCGCCTGGCCAAGAAGATTCCATGGATCCAATTTGATGTGGCAAAAATTTGCATTGTCTTCCTTAGGCATCTTAGGCATATGTTTTTCATACGATTTTTCTTTATTTCATTTTTTTAGAAGCCTTCGTTTCTTGGTGAAACCTGTTATTATCTTTGTTGAAACTCCAATGTTTAGTTGAATCTCCAATGTTTGGTGGATTTGAGCCCTACACTTTGTTGCGGAAACCCGCATTCTTTGTTTTTTGGTGCTGATATCCCCAATTTGGTGGTTAAATGTTGCTATAACATGTTACAACAATAGGGTCCCCCTACAATCCATTGGTTGATCATCATGTTCCCAAGTGAACATGGCAGGAAAATGGGCGTAGCGATGCATAGCCAATTTTCGAACCATGACGTTTGTTGGTGGTTTGGAACCATGGAATTTTGAATGACTTTCCATTCAGTTGGGAATGTCATCACCCCAACTGACGAACTCCATCATTTTTCAGAGGGGTAGGCAACCAGATGACGTTTGTTGGTTGAAGTGGAATTTCGTAGGGTACCAGGTTGACATAGGTTGACTATGTTGACTGTCCGCCGAGGTTCCGACTGCTGAAGCAGGACTTGACCACTGGATTGCCATTGGAACTGAAGGTGGAGCTGTCAATCAGGGCTGTTTACTCATGTCTATTCTGTACGTCGATCTATAGTGTAGACAGTATAGATGTATGAATTGTATGAATTGTATGATGTATGCGTGCTCAGATATTCTAACATTATATTCAGAGTATAGTCATACACATCCCCAAGCTACCTCTCTTCATCTTGACTTACCATATTTAGATACGTAGGTCTTAGTGTTTGTCATTATCTTGACCCTCCGGATGAAGTGATGCAAGTCAAACAACATATTTTCAATTGACACATTTTGTGCAAATAACTCCGAAGACATGCTGTCTATTCATTAATGTGCAGCTACATAGTACATATATAATCGCAAATAACCAGCATTAACTAACCATTTCTTCACCATATATAATATACACATTGAGAACGCTTCCCTATTTCATGTACGTCGACTGACCTTATTGGATACCTTATTGGATAGGGGGATGACCATGATGACCAGGCAGAGGCCGACGTTTCACCGTGTTCACCCGAGATTCCAAGCGAGGTGCGGTGGTGTCACGTATATTTTCCCCCCTGGCTAATTCCCAGTGCCATAAACGCTAATATGGATGTGGGTCAAAATGGAAGACCGTTAAGGGGACCACAGATGTGAATGTCTAGTTTAGTATTAACCATCCATAATTTTGGGGTACCTAATTTTGACCCATCCCCATATAAACGCACCATCCGCCAGTCATCAGCATTTTTCGGTTGGTATAAACTTCATTACCATTCCCAGTCATGGCTGGTAAACATGGTATTGTTTTAGCCACAGAAAAATGTTTTTTCCAATGGTTTTTCAACCCTAGAACTGGGATGATTGATGATGATTGGTTGGGATGGCTTGAGACCACCAACAAATTGATTATGATTATCATAGACATAGATTCTCAAGTTTGCAGCATTATGTTTCCACAAACATATCGACATTCAGACATTCAGAGCATTTCAGAGCAACACCTGGGTCTTCAGGCGTTTTGTTGAAACCCGTTTCTATGAGGAGTTAAATCAATTCCGGTCTTGGTCTGGTGAAATACCCTTCGCTAATTAACCTGGCATTGTTTCAAATCCACCATTTATGGATGATTTTCTCATTAAATCCTCCATTTATTATAGGGGATTTCACATTGCCACGTTTGATTACCGGAGGGTACATGTTTCTTTTTTTTACTTTGGAGTCAGGATGGTCATGATGTTGCCATGGAGTCTGGAGTTCCGATCACCTGACACGAAAAGTCAAACGATGGGCCTTTGTAACGGACACATCATTTCCATTTCACTTCAGGATATTTCAGATTTACGGATCATCATCTCGCTGCATAATTCCAATCTCGGCCCCCATTGCATAAACCCCTGGTCTTGTCGAACAAAAAGGGGGGGATAAAACATGGAAATTACATCAAGTTGCAGCAATTTCTTCAACCAGCCATACAATACAATTCTCCGCAGGTGCTTGAGATTGCCCACACTGCCGTTCGACACGGACCGGCCGCGGGGAGCCGTGTCGGGAGGACTGGATCAGGCTGTCCAGCAAACTAACATAGCTATGGATAATTGGCCCATTTGTACAACACGTGCATATATACATACGTATAGAAATAGAATATAGATATAGATATATATTATTTCCAAAATCAAAATATTAAACCTGGTGATTTTCCATACGTTTCTATTAGATTATTGAGAGATTTGTCGTGGTTTCAATATGTTTCAATGGGGTTTTGGGGCTCTGGGTTCCCAGGATTTTGCCTTTGATTTCACCAAGAAAATGGTGCCGTTTTCCTGGGCCATGGGATTCGGGGTTGCTGCTCAGTTAGTTAACCCACATTGTCGTTGACGAACTATAGTTGACTCACTATAATTCATTTACCAACTATAGTTATAGCTATCCCAGTTATAATTCATTTATCAACTATAGTTGACTAGCTCCATGGTCGCCCATCTCTCAGTACTTCATTGTCCAGGCCCGGTTGAGTTGCTCTCAAGGTCGTTCCGAGTGAGGACGCCTTTTTGGAACCGATCATTGATGCTGTTGGGGGCCCAAGGAGGGATGGTGGTGATTCCGAGCGAAAAAGACTCTGATACCAATGTGATAACGATAAGATATATATATATAATATACTGGTTGGTGGTTTGGAACATTTTTATTTTCCATATAATATGGGTTAATCCTTCCCATTGACTTTCATATTTTTCAAGATGGTTAAAACCACCAACCAGTATATCATAATATGGGGATTTAACGATTCAACCTTTTGTTACATCATTAAACATTATGATTTTTCACCAGCAGCAAAGGGCTTTTTTAGCAGTAGAGCCAAACCAATGATCTATAGTTCATATCCCATAGGATCCATGTATGCTATATATGGTAACATGGATCCCATCAATATACCCCAGTCATGTTAGCATATATACCAGCACCATGGATCCTATGGGTATTCAAACATGTTCTACTGTAATTCTCTGCAACCATGGGATGATGGCCACAGACCATCCCCAGAGATCCGTCATCCGTCCCTTTGCTACGAGACAAAATTCATTGAAGCAGAAAGGTGTTGGTTGGATGCATCAATTACCCTATGGTAAATAAACGTAGACCCTGAAAATGACCAATTTTTAGTGGAAACTAATCTTCCAACCCCTATCTGCCAGGGTCTATGTTAATTTACTGGAGGGTACCAGTTGTGATGTACCTTTGCTAATTTGGACCCCGTGACCATGATTGTTTTCACATGTTTTCCACCACTCCTCAAATGATGAAAAATGGCTTGCGAAAATGAGGCTCACAATGCCGACGACACCCAAGCACAGGCAGGAGAAAATCATTGATATTCTGATATTCCATGGCATCCATGTTGCTTCATAACCCTGGATAGGAACTTCCCCTTTCGTTGGCTTATTCCCGGGGATGATCGTGATGTCTCGTGGGGTCACAACTGGGCGGCGACCGGGCTGAACTATGAATCATAATTCTGGGACGGGCGAATTGATAAATTCACATATTTACAATTTTGTGAACTAATTTACCATTTTGATAAATTCCAAAATTGAACTAATTGATAAATTCCATTTTGCTCCTGTTCACATATAAAAACCTTCTTGCTGCGCAAGACTAAGCAAGACATTGCTGCTTTTCGGATCACAAAGGGAGGCTAAGAAATTTTATTTTGGTGCACCTGGAGATGGGCAATGATTTCAAGCGATTTCAACCTGGGTCCCGGGGTCAACATAATTTTCTGACATGCCCCTCGAACCAAGGGAGTCTAGCCATTTCATGACATCCACCATCCGCCCATTCGCAAAGGGCCATGCAGATCAATGTGTGCTCTAGCTACTCAGTTTAAGGACTGATTGAATGGATTGCACCCTGGTACGTTTACTACCTGCATCATACGGTAATCTTATGTAATATTACGCAATATAGTCCTAGTCGTGTACGTATATAATCCCTTTTGTAGACGGCTGTTTCTTCAAATTGGGGTACCCCATAAAAATCATATGTCTTTCCCCATCAATGACCAATGACCTTGACGACCAATCAACAACCCCCCGATTGGATAACTGGAGAGTGGAGGCAGAAGCCGCAGCCTCCCTGGCAGCTGCAGCCGAGGACTTCACCCTCTAAGGATCATAGAGTTCCAGTTGTAGTGGTCATATGTTATAGATTGTGATCATGTTAGATTATATATTTTAACATTAAGATATATATATATATTATAACCATTGTCATATGGATATCATGTTAAGTCATATTAGATAATATATGATAATATAATATATATATAGATTGAACTTGAGATGTTTATTTTTTGGTGTGGAATTTGGAACATCATTTGGGCCCATCACTAGCGTGTGTCTGAAAATGATGATAATGTTGTATAGCCCAAAGATGGCAATGTGAATGGGGACAATGATGATCAATTCAATGATAACCCATGAAAATTTGAGGGCATCCGGGCATCCGGGCATCCGATGTTCGGAAGCTGGTCATGGAACCTGGTGGTCACGGTCCAGGACACCGGCACTGTGATACAGCTTTGCAATGAGAAAGCACAAAAGGCCATTGAGAAACTGCTCAAGGTGCCAGAAAGGGTGAGGTTTCCACTGGATTCCAAGGGGCAAAACTTGGAAGATATTGATACATCCTGGAAGATATTGATGATAACAACCTCCAGAAAGACGGAACAGTAAGATTTCTCACGAGTCCACATCTACGAAAATGTGGTGATACTGGCTCCTCATCTAGTTGGGGCTACTACAGTATATGATTCATCATGACTGGTTGGTGGTTTGGAACATGAATTCTATGACTTTCCATTCAGTTGGGAATGTCATCATCCCAACTGACGATTCGTCTATCATTTTTCAGAGGGATAGGTTGAAACCACCAACCAGATATGGGTTAACGACTATCCCATGATTATCCCATAGTATATAACTAACACACATGAATTTTGTTGGGGATTTGACAACAGCATCGCCCAACCTGGAGGTCGTCAGAGTCAAACTGATGAAAAATGCTGTTCTGGCTGAGCAGTGACAACTAGTTATCCGTAGTTGATACCCTCTGGTAAACGTTTACATAGCTATTGACAATGGCCATTTATAGTGGATTTACCCATTTAAAATGGTGATTTTCCATAGTTACGTTAGTTTACCAGAGGGTAGGTTAGTAAAGGATAGTAAAGGGCAGGGCGGGTGTTCTACTCGCTCAATATCTGATTATCACCGTCCAACTGAGAGTCTGCAACCAGCAAAACAGAACAACGTTGTGACATTGAACCCCCAGCCCCATGTCCAGCTTAGTATTACTTTGAAAGAATCTGACTGTATAGTTAGAGTCAAAACTGACACCAGGACTACTAAAATCGATTATTTCTCCCTCGTTTTCGAAGACGGGTACATGTCCAGGTCAACTGCTTTGAGGTTTCCTGTCAAGTGGAAAGCTCAGATCGATCAGTTTGTTGTCACTGAATTCGGATCCGGTCAGAGAAGGACTCGTTGATCCATGTTTGCCCCGCAGTTTGTCATGTATTCATATCTAACAACGAATGTGTAGTTGTGAATATAGAATCCCCTTGATTCATCAACCCCCACACAGGAACATGTTTGGGCAATACTAAAATGGGTTGATCCCCCTTGATTAATCAACGCGGGGGGGAATCAACCGATCAATCAACCTCCACATGCAGTCACATACTTTGAACACCACTCCTTCAAAGTCCCACACAGCGCTTCGACTCAGACAAACTCCCGACAGAGATTCCACCAGCCTTTTTGTGACTTTTCCGTTATAGGCTTGTGACTTTGCAGTGACAGGCTTGTGACTTTTCCGTCACAGGCTTGTGACTTTTCCGTTATAGGCTTGTGACTTTGCAGTGACAGGCTTGTGACTTTGCAGTGACAGGCTTGTGACTTTTCCGTCACAGGCTTGTGACTTTGCAGTGACAGGCTTGTGACTTTGCAGTGACAGGCTTGTGACTTTTCCGTCACAGGCTTGTGACTTTTCCGTTATAGGCTTGTGACTTTTCCGTTATAGGCTTGTGACTTTTCCGTTATAGGCTTGTGACTTTGCCGTCACAGGCTTGTGACTTTTCCGTCACAGGCTTGTGACTTTTCCGTTATAGGCTTGTGACTTTTCCGTTATAGGCTTGTGACTTTGCAGTGACAGGCTTGTGACTTTTCCGTCACAGGCTTGTGACTTTTCCGTTATAGGCTTTTGACTTTTCCGTTATAGGCTTGTGACTTTGCAGTGACAGGCTTGTGACTTTTCCGTCACAGGCTTACTTTGCAGTCACAGGCTTGTGACTTTTCCGTCAAAGGCTTGTGACTTTTCCGTCACAGGCTTGTGACTTTTCCGTTATAGGCTTGTGACTTTGCAGTGACAGGCTTGGCTTGTGACTTTTCCGTTATAGGCTTGTGACTTTGCAGTGACAGGCTTGTGACTTTGCAGTGACAGGCTTGTGACTTTGCAGTGACAGGCTTGTGACTTTGCAGTGACAGGCTTGTGACTTTTCCGTTATAGGCTTGTGACTTTTCCGTCACAGGCTTTTGACTTTGCCGCCAGAGGCTTGTGACTTTGCCGTCATAGGGCTGTGACTTTGCAGTCACAGACTCGTGACTTTGCAGTCACAGGCTTGTGACTTTGCCGTCACAGGCTTGTGACTTTGCCGTCACAGGCTTGTGATTTGCAGTCACAGGCTTGTGACTTTGCCGTCATAGGCTTGTGGCTTGTGACTTTGCCGTCACATGCTTTTGACTTTTCAGTCACAGGCTTGTGACTTTTCCGTTATAGGCTTGTGACTTTGCCGTCACAGACTCGTGACTTTGCAGTCACAGGCTTGTGACTTTGCCGTCACAGGCTTGTGATTTGCAGTCACAGGCTTGTGACTTTGCCGTCATAGGCTTGTGGCTTGTGACTTTGCCGTCACAGGCTTGTGACTTTGCAGTCACAGGCTTGTGACTTTGCAGTCACAGGCTTGTGACTTTGCCGTCATAGGCTTGTGGCTTGTGACTTTGCCGTCACATGCTTTTGACTTTGCAGTCACAGGCTTGTGACTTTGCAGTCACGGTCTTGTGACACTGCCGTCATGCAGGCTTGTGACTTTGCCGTCATAGGCTTGTGGCTTGTGACTTTGCCGCCACAGTCTTGTGACTTTGCCGTCACAGGCTCAGTCTTGCAGTCTTGGCTCAGACCACATTTTTGGCTAATTTTTCTCAATTTCAAAAAAAAGGATTTCCCCAAGGTTCGGTTTCATTTGAACAATCCTTAAAAAAAGACATCACTTTGAGAAGCTCAAAAAGGGTACCCCCCATGAGGTCATGTCCCCAAACACTAGGCAGGGTTCTTCCCTAATTAATCAACCCCCTTGGCTCCTTTAGATTTCTTTTGGGTGTTACAAGTTAAATGAAAATCAATTGAAAGTGGATTGGTATCAATTGAAATCCTTACAATAGACTTTAGACTTTTCTTGGTTTAAAAGCAGAATCAAGTGAACGTAGATTGATACTTGTATCAATTGAAATCCTTACTAATCTTTAGATTTCCCTTTGGTTTAAAAGGCAAAATCAATTGAACGTAGCTTTATATGAGTTTATATGGATTCGAAGTTGATCTCTTAGGACTTCAACTTAGGAGGTCGTTTATTTGGCGGGAAAACCGTGGCAGAACCTTCTCCCTGGGATACCTAACTTCCGGGGAGCATCCCTGGGATCAGTGGCTGGTTTGTGTTTTAAAAAGGTGGGAGGAGGCTCAACCACCAGCCACTATCAGCCACTTGCCAATACCATATGTGATATATGTGGAAGCTCTTGACTACCCAATGAATTTGGGCACACTAATTTTCCATATTAAAATTATTTAAACTTCATCTTAGAACAATTCAAGCACTCATTCATACTCATTCTAATACCCAATGTTTAATTGTCACACAAACTCGAATGTTCTGGAACTTGGACACCCGGCCGGTGGTTTCCGGTTTGTGATGCCGATCTGGGCATGATCCAAACCTCGAGATTCCACTAGGTATATTTATATTTATTTATAGTAATGTATAGCAATTTATAGCACATTATATATAGTATATGACAATAAAATGCTTTATATTGTAGTTGATTACAGTTTATCATAGTATATTCTAGTATATCATAGAGAAATTAGTGTATTATACTACATTTTATATTATAGTATATATATATATATTCGTATATTGTAGTATAGTATGTAGCAACTATATGCGATTACTTGACCCCGCGGCCATCTTAACATTGATCGGTGGTTGAGACGGTACCGGGGCCGACTGGCAGACAACGTTGAAGACGTTGATATGCATTTTATGACAGTTGAAGAATGGTATGTTAATGTATTACTTATTTACATAGATAGATTGTATAGATTCTCGATGTTTGTTAGTTTGTTTCCCCCGTTTTTTTTTTTGAAGGATGAAGCGAAGATAGTTAAGGGATGATTTTCCCACGTGAGGTCGTTCGTTTCATCATGAAGTTGGCGGTCGCGCCTGGGGCAGAGGTGCCGTTGATCCCAATGGATCCCGTTCAAAACTTGGAAAACACGGCGTTTTTTTGGGGGCCATATTTTGGAGGTTCCATGTCATATTTTAGTGGCTAGCCCCAGAAATTGGGTACGTTTGATTTACACTATACTTCTTGAGACCTTTAAATCACTGGAACTCGAACTGCGCCGTATGTTTTTTTCCCCATTTCTTGGTATCACATGGGGATCACCCTCACTCATCTACTTTGATGAAAAGAATCCGCAAGAATGGGACACTCAACAACTCTTTGGAACCATTCAATGGTTTGAGAATCCAGTGAATGGATATATTTGGTCCATTGAATGGTTTAATCATACTTTTGAAAGGCTACCTGGCATATCCCGGGATGGTCCTCACCTTGATCCTTTCATATTCTTTGGTCCAACATATGTTTGATTCCAGCCTATTTCAAGAGGAAATCCCATAGTCTGCCCCACAATTTTGGTCCAACTCTTCTTGGAGCGTGCGGGCCAACTGCCCGGCAATTATTCTGCACCCCCACTCTGTATAAGAACCAGCACCAAAGTATACGGAAAGGATATTCAAAATAGGCCTCTCAAATGAATGATATTGATTATTGTAGATCATATAGAAACCGTTACTATTTAGTAACCCCAAAAAAGATTCAGACAAAAGGTTCAATTTGTCATTATTTTAATAGGAGAGTACTTTTCTATCTTTTTGGGGGTTGCTGGAGAAAAACAACCTTCTGAAGTAGTGCCGGGGTGGTGTCAATCTGTCAGGCCTTCTTCAATGGAGAGGGTCTACTTCACCTTTTGCAAAGGAAGGTGCAGCGACTCGCACGATGTGACGCCGATGATGAGAAATTGAGATTGAGAGATCTGAGTGAAATCCTCATATTTATATGATTTTATATGCAATTCATTTAGTTGCTGTTTGTGGGTTAAGGTCCTTCAAAACTCATCAACACTATTCAACAGTTGGCATCTTCCAACTCACAAGTAAACACCGGAATCATCATTATATAAATGTCATGACATATTTATACATACGTGTAATGGTATAAATTACATGACTGAATTGCCATTGTATATGACTGAATTATAACGACGTCACAACAATGTCACTATAAATGATGCTGAGGACTGGGGGAAGCATCCCCAACTGACCACTAAGTTCGTTCAATTTCTATACCAGCTTTGATGAATAGTAAGCTGGAATCATCCCAAAAATGCTCCTCACTAAGTTAGTTTCAACTTCCCCTATGGATCCAATCACCTTCTTAGCAAGTATTGGGGCTATCATTTAGGGGGTTAAGTACCTTCTCAGACAGTGTTTGGATCCATAGGGTTCTCCCAACCAGCCACATCAGCTCCCAGCAGGTCTCCGACCTGGGGGCCGGGAAGAAGTGTTGCTGACATGTCAAGAGTCAGGGTTTCCTGCGGCGGATCAAGACATGGAGCATTTGAAAAACGATTTGAGCTATGCAAAATATGCAAAGACCTCGGTTTAATCGGCCGAGAATAGTCCTTTCCTAGGTTCGGGCTCAACGGGCCCGACGGGCCCGACGGGCCCAACGGGCCCAACGGGCCCAACGGGCTCCAACGGGCCCCAACGGGCCTGCTTCACGGGCCCAACGGGCTCGACGGGCTCGAGAGACCGTGGCGCTGAATGAACCCATCATCCCTTCTGGTGCTGGCGTTACACTTTACATTCAATTGGGAAGATCAACAACGGTACTGGGAATATAGATTCCCACCCCCGGCTAACTTAATATTCAATGGGGAAAATCAACAAAGGTATTAGGAATTTAGAATCACATCTCTGTTCAACTTTACATTCAAGCAGGCAAATCAACAAGGGTAATTATTTGGCATATAAGTTCCCCGCCTGTGAATTTTACATTCAATTGGGAAGATCACCGATAGGTATTTGGAATAAAAGCTCCCTTAGAACCATAATTGCCCACCCTGCTTGAACTTTTAGATTCAAGTGGGAAGATCACCACAGGTATTAGGAATATAAAAAAAATCCACTCTCGTTTGCTTTTGCTTTCGACTGGAAAGATCAACAAGGGATGATGATGATGATGACGACGGTTCGTTGCCCATCGTCGTTGCCCTGCCAGGCTAAACCCAGGCATTAGCCGTATTTCAACATATGTGTATATACATAAATGTATGCATCTTGTATCTTTCTAATGCGTATACACACATAAATATTTATTTATTGAGTGATTGTTCTTTATGTATATCTTATACCTAATTACATCTGGTTGTAGGTGAAAAAATGTATGATTCCAGCACGCCATTGGGATCATGTTTCCAATTTTCGTCGCTTTCCTGCTTCAGTCATCCATGGCTAATGCACATGCTTTCTGTTCTTCATTTGGTTACAGATATTATTCCACCAGATTCAGTTCGGCACCAGCTGTTGACTACCAACCGGTGAAACAAAATCCTTCGGATCCACTCGGGGTATGATTTGTCAAGCGGTGCCGTTTGCAGATTCTGCGATTCTTTCCTAGACAGCGGCCACAAAAAAAAAACGTGCTTCGCTTCATCCTTTTGTGACCATGATGAGAGGTGATGGTGCCTTTGGAACTTACATGATGATTTTTCCTTCTATCACGCAGGGATAAAGAATGTGGCACCCCTTCAAAAACCAAAAAACCAAATATGCATATCTGCGTCTATCTGCTTGACATGTCCGACCCAAATACAACGGCGGCCGCCCACCCGACTTGTCAAACGCTGCACGGCTCTCTACCTTTTCAAACATAAAATAGAGACAATCATCCCCGGCAAAAAGGCCCTAACAGCGTTGAGGAAAACATCTGTGAAAAAAACTCCAGGACCTCAAGCCAGGACCTCAATGAGAATTTCACACAGTCGTCAAAGAAGGACCTGATAGAGGGGATCTGACAAGATCTTTGTACAAGAACCTCTTGAAGGCTTCCCTTGCAAACTTTCATACAAGCACCTTCTAGATCTTCGCGCAAATATCTTTTAGAGGATTCCAGCAGGATGTGCGCAAGATCTCCTCACAAACACCTCTACAACAAAGGATTTCACTAGGATACCCACAAGATCTCCTCGCAAGGACTTCTACAAAATCAGGAATCTTCGAGGATCTCGACAGGATCCCTACAAGATCCCCTTCCAAGAACCTCATGCTGCCCCAAATTGTCGTCGGGCCCAATGGGCCCGTCGGGCCCCAACGGGTCCGACGGGCCTGACGGGCCCGACGGGCCTGACGGGCCCAACGGGCCCAACGGGCCCAACCCAGCAGAAGACCATGGCCGTTTAATCCCAGATATATCTGGAAATCAGCATAGATTTCGAGGGTTTTTTTCCATGGTTTGGCCAACGGAAATGGGGATCTAAGCACTAACCATCATGAAATCTTTGGAATTGAGCTACCAAACATGATCAATCATGGGGCGAGTGAAAACTAACAAGAACTCAGCTATGAAGTACTGTAAGTCTTGGATGATGGATGGTTCCCTTATAGTAAATTCACTTACCGTTATTCACCTCAGTTTTCAGACTTGGATTGCATTTGGTACCTGGTAATCCATCATTTACTTCGATGATTTTCCCACTTCAATGCCGATTTCTAGGCAGATTTCATCGGATTTCCCAGACAGCCAAGGTTGGTTACATGGTATGGGGTGGATGTGGTATTTTCCACAGCTTGGGTTGACGATCTGCCTCGATTCATTTTCTGATGGGTGACCTGCCGGGAGCTTCCAGCTACTGTACTCTTGTGGCGAAGAACCTGTATACCATCCCTCTATATAAATCTATATAAGATATATCCCCAAAATCATCCCCGCATTCAGCTAGCTCAACCACTAACCATTTTGAGTTCCCCAGACCCAGTTCGCGGATTCGCCGACATTTTCTTGATGAAATATGCTTGCTTCAATCGCAAGCTGAGGTGTTTCATGTTGGTGAAACCCAGGTGTTTGTTGATGAACCTCCCGTTTTCCTTGGTGACAGCAGCATTTTGGTTGGTACACCCGTGAACACACTTGATGTTTGTTGATTACTCTTCCCACATTGATGCTGACAGAATTTCTGTTGCTAAGGATCCACGAAAGCCCAGGTTCTGCACGTTCAATCCCCAATTTTTGGGCGGCCAGGCTCAGAGTCCAGCTGTCGCAGACTGTGGAGAAGCTGCTGCGAACGCAGGTGGGTCTAGCGCTGGAGTTGGGGATTTCCCAGAAGATAGCCAATTTAGATGGAAAAATATGGGGAAATCATCAGAATTTCGATCGACTTCAGGGATTTCATGGGATATTTCCTGCAAAAATCATCTGTATTGGGACTTGGGATGACTTGGGATGATTTGGTGTAAGGGGATAGAATAAGATATATATAATTGACAACATGATATTAGTGGATGCTGGTGTGAAAATGAGTGGATGCTGGGGTCAATTTGGCATTTTCAGACTGACCCCGGGCCTGGGGACTTGCCGGACTTGCTCCTCTCAAACTCAATGGATCAGGGATGAGCCCTAGGGCCCTAGGCTACGAAGTAGGTAGATATCTGTAGATTTTCGATGAACAATCCCAATTGATTGCTGGTAAATGTAAATTTGTTTTTCAAGATAACCCAAGTAAATGTAATCTTTACCAGCAACTAATGATTCCATGATTGTAGTTCGATTTCCAATATCATGGATCATTTGTGGTAAAATCCAGGGCTCCCGCGACCCTCTACGCATCAGGTCCGACTCGCAGCTCACCGCTAAAGGTGGCCGCTGTCACATGCGTGGCCCCTTAGCTGCAGTTTTGGAGGGTTATCAAAAGATTGGATGTGATGGACCAGGGAAGCATAAGAATCAACAAGTGGTTTAACCCGCAACGATATAATATACACGCTATATTTATGTGCATATATATATAATATAATTTATATAATATAAAAAGTGTTATGTAGAGATATGTGAGATATTTTTTAGACATGAGTCCTAATTATCAACCCCCAAATTACCATCAATCATCGACAATTCCTCTAAAAATTGTCTCACAAAAAACACTTTTGGGAGGGGTGTAGCGGATGACTCGTGAACGTTCACCCTCCGGGAACATCACATCCATAGCATCGGGTTTGGAAATCTTCAATTTCAAATGGAACTTGAATGATGTACATCATGGCAATTTTTCCTCCACCGTGTTTATCCGTGTTTGCCTACTCGAGGAAGCAGCACTTGAGTCATCATTTTAAGATATTTAAGCCACAAGTCAGCCAATTTTTTCCAGGGGGTTCAATAGCCACAAAAGTCAACAGGAACCATGAGAGCCCGGCGGTTGTTTCCGGGATTTCGTACTAAAATCTGTGGGAGCCGGTGGGGAAGGCTGCCTTTGGCCTGCTTGCAGGACCCCTTTGGTTTGAAAATTGGATAAACCCCAAAATGGCAATGAAATTTAAAGGGACACATATAGATACCATATTTTCAGACAAACCCATATATATATATATATATTTATATATAGTGTTTTTGACTTGAATGCATGCTGTATCAAATCTGAGACGAAACCCTCTCAGATTTTTTTGGTTGCAAAGTGCTCGTTTGGCTCCTGGTCCTGTTCAAACGAATGCCCCATTTCAGAATGAAGACGGGGAGGATTGATCAGATGATTTAAGCGTTTGAATTATATACTGTAAACTGGGGACCATAAAAGAAGTGTTCTGTTCTTGAACATGTCCCAGCCGAATTGGAAGTCTGAAAATGCAAGGAACACCAAAAACTGTTCAAGTATAAGTAGCATCATTTTAGTTTCGTGAATTCCATATCAAATTTAGGCAACGTATTTTAAGGATGGCTCAAAAATGGGCACCGAATGACCTTCAAAAATCTCCGTTTTTTTACTGAAGCTATTCATGTTTTTCTTTACCCGCTCTGCAGGGATTTGCTACCATGCAATATGTGGAACGAAAAACTTGTCTACAAAAAGGAGATTGTCCATTCCCATGTTTTCCAGAGACTCAGTCTCAGACTACTGTGGTACGCCTATAGTTGGGAAAGTTTATACCGCCCACTTCTTGTAAAAAATCAGTTTTTTTTTTGAATTATTTTTTTCCGTTTTGGGCTTTTTTTATATTTCTAAATCCCTGCTTCTTTGCTTTTCTGCTTCTTTGCTTTTCTGCTTTTTGCTTTTCTGCTTTTCCCCGCTTGTTTGCTTTTATAGTTCTTTGCTTCTCTGCTTCTCCACTTTTCTGCTTCTCTGCTTCTGTGCTTCTTCGCTTCTCTGCTTCTCCACTGTGCTGCCTCTCTGCTTCTCCGCTTTTCTGCTTTTCCCTCCTTTTCTGCTTTTCCAGCTTCTCATGCTTTTCTGCTTTTCCAGCTTCTCTGCTTACCTGCTTTTCTGCTTCTCTGCTTTTCCCTCTTTTTTGTCAGATAATCCTTAAGAAACATCATGTAAATAAACCCTAATTCAACCATAAATAAACCCCAAACCAACCAAAGAAACACTTAAGCATTTCTAAGTAAACCCTAAACACTCCCTAAATAAATTTGAAACTAATCCTAAATAAACCTCACAGCAGCCCTAAATAGATCTTAAACCAGACCTAAATAAATCTTAATTCTTAAACCCACGCTAAACACACCTTAAACCAATCCTGAATAGGTCCTACACCAACTCTAGATAGATCCTAAACCAAGCCTGGATAAGCCCTAAACACACCCTAAACCAGCCCCAAATAGATGCTCACCCAAGCCTAAATAAACCGTAAAAGAACCCTAATTAGATATATTTAAACCCGGCCTAAATAGATCCTAAACCGACCCTCAACAAACTTAAACCAACCCAAAATAGGTGCTAAACCAACCATAAATAGGTCTTGAACCACGCCTAAATAAAACCTAAACACACCCTAAAAGGATCCCAAACTAACCCAAGAAGCTAAATAAAGCCTAACTCTAAAATCAACCCTCAAACAAACTTAAACAAACAAAACCCCTAAACTAAGCCCAAAACCAACCCTAAATGAAACCTAGTTGCAAACTACCATGTTACATGAACAGTTCGAACTCAAAAATGCTGCAAATACCGTTGAAACAGCAGCTTCCAGCTCCAAAATGCTGCAACTAGCAAGGCAAACGTGCAGAAAAAACGGATGCAAAAAAACAACAAAGCGCAAAAAATAAAACTCCCAAAACAATTCCGGACCCGTTTGTTGTTAGGTGTAAACATGGGTAACATACAACCACAAGCCCAGAAAAAAACAACTCACATATCTATGGGTTTCTTAAAATGAGGATACCCCAAGAGCTGGATGGTTTATAATTGAAAATCCGAAAATGAAATGGATAACTGGGGGTACCCCCTATTTAGGAAACCTCCATATGAGCCATAAACCTCTTAACATATCGTGATCCCTGGGTGTTTCAAGACGTTCCATTCGGATCCTGTCCAGGTGTTCGTTCACCTGCAGGTCCCGGGTGTTTTTTCTTGGATCATCCCTGGAGAAATCATCGACATGGAAGTGGTTGATACTGGATTAATGGGTTCATCATGGGTTATGAATGGGATAATCATGGGTGGGATAATGGCTTAATGGGATAATAATGGGATTATGGGTTAATAATGGTTTACACGAGTTAGCAATGCCTAATCATGGTGAATGGCCATGGGATATGAATCATGGGATCCCGTCTGGTGGCCCCTGTGGCCCCCTCCCCGAGATGGTGATGGTCCCTATACACAAGTATGTCTGTATCTATTTGTATATGTATTTAAATGTAAGTTATCTATATAGAATATATAATATACATGTTTGGGGAGTTAGTCCATTTATAGACTTTTTGGCTTTTGCGAGGGGGGCACGGTTCAAAGCGGTTCAAACTAAGACTACATAGAATTTACATGGAGACCAACTTTAGGACTTTAGGTCTAGGTTTTCATAGTATTGTATAATTTACATACGCACTGCATAATATTTGATGTATATATATATATATGTATACATGCGTATATATATATATTATATATATATATATACATGATACATGTATGTATATTACATCTTCAGGCCAATATATCAAATGACCCAAAACGTTGGTTGATGAACGTCCCTATATGACGACCATTCTGTTCCGGTCCGTTCCAGTATACATATGTATATATATAGACATAACAATAACAATCACAAGGACGGTATGACGCACATATATATATATATAAAAATCATTCATAGCTATATATATATATATATACATAAACGTTATATATATACATTACTATGTTTGTCTATATATACATAAATCTACAGATGTAACTGTAACTTACACGTATAACTCCACATCGCTGCAGACAGCTGGTTACCCGGGTCTGACTGGGGTGTGGGTGCTTAGCCAGGGGTGAACGGAAGGTGGTAGACATGGAGACTGGGAAAGTTCCTTATTGCCCAGGTTACCAATAGGGACTTCAGCAATGAATGTCGTGGTATAAGTCCCTAATGTGGTGATAGTTATATGGAGGATGCTTTTATATGAATATGTATATATACACATTTTTTTAACCAATCATGTTTGAAGAAGGAACAAATCCAGTCCTTAGCCCAATAAATATCCAGTCCCAGTATTCCATAAATGGGTAGTAATATCATCCTGATACAGTGGCTTAAACATTCTGGGCTTACCACATTATCGGTAAGACCATGGTTTCTGGGCGTGTTGAAAAAATTAGGGGATGGGGATTAGCTATATTGAAGATATTGTTATATTATATATATATATGAATATCTCTATAATGTTCAATCAATGTTGAATGGACATATCTAATGAAATCTCATGATGGGGCTATAATTAATGGGATATTTTATGGGATAAACACCAAAACACCAGAAGGTGTGTATATATATATATGTATTGTAACCCCACAGCAAATAGAAAATCATTTAAACCCCATAGGAGTCTACTATGGTTCTATCTTTTGTAAGGTGGCAAGACGTACTATATTGTGAGCTTACGACATTAAAAGGTTAGTAAATTGTTATAGTAAGTGGGTTGCAACCAACGCCTTACAATTGGGATATTTCCTTATATATATATATATCATCTGTTGATAAACTAAGGGTAAATTCCTCGAATTGGCTGAAGAGACAAAATTGCAAGACACCCCCAATATGTGATGGTAAAAACATAACCGGTTTCGATTTTAACCTTCCCTGAAACCAACCTGATTTTATCACCCTATTCACTCATTAATACACTATTTGCGGGGGGGGTCGTATAAACTATCCCAGTTGCAGGGGTATACCTAATTTATCCTAATTTCATAGACCCATATTGGGGATGGTTTATTCCTTGGTCTATGCTGAGTTTACCATACATAGTCGCAAGCCATGGTCATGTTTAGCGACAAAAGAGGTCTTATAAAGTCGCACAAAAACCATCCTTAAAAAAGATGGAGGTTTCCAAAAAGCATTGGATCAATCCCACATTAAGGTGACTCACGGGTGATACAGGGGTGACCGTTGTGGCGACAGCAAAAACTAAGGCACAGAGACAGGTGCGGGAGGTCAGGCCCCGCAGATACCGAAACTGGCAATGGATGGCGCTTTTTCAATGCTGGTGACTCCAATTTGTTGTTGGTTCACCATGAACGTGGTCTATGGAACTGGCGTAAATGAAGCCTTCTTTGAAAGTGATTCAGAGAAAGCAACTAACAAACAAAAGACATTCATAGATCAGTGATCGATCAGTGAAATCAGGTTTGTTTTGGGAGGTTTAGGCTTTGACATCTGACGTTTTTTTGGATCGAAAACGGCGTGTGTGGACCGGCGTTGGTCATGGCCATGTCATGACGCTTTAGCAACTACCAGGAACCCGTAGAACCAACCGGCCATGGGGATGTCATGGCTGTGCTGCTTGGTGGTTTGGAACACGATTTTTCCCGAGAGCGTCTGAGCGTTTGGGGTTCTTCTAATAGTGGGGGTCTGTCAACCATTTTCACATCTTCACATCTTCACATCACATCTTCAATTCTTACATCTTCACATCTTCACATCTTCACATCTTCTCATCCTCACATCTTCTCATCCTCACATCTTCTCATCCTCACATCTTCTCATCTTCACATCTTCACATCCTCACATCTTCACATCTTCTCATCTTCACATCTTCTCATCTTCACATCTTCTCATCTTCACATCTTCTCATCTTCACATCTTCTCATCTTCACATCTTCTCATCTTCTCATCTTCTCATCTTCACATCTTCACATCTTCACATCTTCTCATCTTCACATCCTCACATCTTCACATCCTCTCTTGCCCTCTTGCTCTCTTGCCCTCTTGCTCTCTTGCCCTCTTGCTCTCTTGCCCTCTTGCACCCTCCTTCTTTTCTATTTCTCTCTTGCGGTCGCGGGGCAGTGCCAACGAGACGGCACGAAACGCAACCTTTTCGCACGAAACGAGGTTCGATCGCCAAAAACTAAGGTAAAATTTTTGATTTCTCGCATCCGGTCGCAACCCTTTCGCACGAAATGAGGTTCGATCGCCAAAAAACAAAGGTAAAATTGCAATTTCACGCGTTCGGTCGTAACCCTTTCACACGAAACGAAGTTCGAACGTCAAGAACTGAGGTAAAATTGCGATTTTGAAGTGTCCGGCGCAACCCTTTCGATTCTGTGTGTAAAAGCGTCTGTGTGTAAAAGTCTCTGTGTGTAAAAGCTTCTGTGTGTAAAAGCTTCTGTGTGCAAAAGCGTCTGTGTGTAAAAGCTTCTGTGTGCAAAAGCGTCTGTGCGTAAAAGGTTCTGTGTGTAAAAGCTTCTGTGTGTGAAAGCGTTTGTGTGTAAAAGCATCTGTGTGTAAAAGTCTCTGTGTGTAAAAGCTTCTGTGTGTAAAAGCTTCTGTGTGTAAAAGCGTCTGTGTGTAAAAGCTTCTGTGTGTAAAAGCTTCTGTGTGCAAAAGCGTCTGTGTGTAAAAACTTCTGTGTGCAAAAGCGTCTGTGTTCAAAAGGTTCTGGGTGTGAAAAACTATACGAAGGATACGATGCAAACTATTGTCTTGTACTTGTAATATATTGTCTTGATACTACTCTTCTTGTCTGCCCATAATACATTTTTAGTAAATTGCCTTGTAACATATATAGTGTCTCAATACTAACAACAGAAGACCCTGCTCCTCTACGCTCTCGGGCCATCCATCGTCTATTTTTTTTCCATTTCATACAGGGGTGTCATCCTTCCCATTGACGAACTCATATTTTCAGAGGGGTAGGGCACAACTGATTTTACCCCTGCGAAAACATTGAGCATCACACCTTTTCAGGGATCGTCCATGTAGTTTGTTCACAGTTGGGTGAAATGGCCGGATGGGTGCCATGTGGCAATGCGAATTCAAGCCTGAAACTTACAACCAATTGAACTCAATTCAATGGGAAAATACTGATTCACACCTAAATTTAAGGGGTTCCCCAATTTTCAGACAACCCCAAGTGAAGTTCTCTGGAGATAGAAGATCTCTTGCCAGATATCTTTGTTGGAGGGTATCCCCCTAAAACCCAGGCAGGAAAACTAATTAAGGAGGTATACCAGTTGGTTGGCCGAGTTCCTTGTAGTGCTGGTACACTCTGACGACCTGGAACTTCCACGCCAAGACAGTGGAGTATTTCATGTCGCTTGCGCAGTCAACCCGTGCAGACAGAGACAACGAGCTGATCAACTTGATGATTTTAGACAGGGATGTGCCAATAGTATCCAATAGTAGTGACTAGTTTTTGATGCTCTTTGTGAACACATTGCAATATGATGCTGCTATCATAGCTACAGTATATTTTTTGTGAATGCCTCTGCGCGAATATAATTCGTAGGTCTTGTTCGCGTCGCCCTGTGCGGGTAAGCTTTCGAAAGCAGTAAGCGGCGGTTGCAAACTTGACAAATTTTAGTTTCCATGATTTGGCAACTCTGGAACATTCCATCCATCCCGTTGGTTAATCACGTCCCCATTGCTGTCCTTTTATACATTGATTTTTTTCGTTCAAATGTTCGAAGCCCTGGTGTTTTGTTAAATATAATCGATCCCCATTTGATTGCTGGTTACAGCCTGGTGTCGGGCACTTTTTTTTCGCCCAAAAAAGCAACACAAAAAAAATCACATGTGCAGTCATAGCAACGCTGCAGTCAAAACGCTCTCGCGACCTCTTTCCATTCGCTTTTCCTCGGAATCGCGACCTGGAACCGGTGAATGCTCTCGGTGGCCTTTCTGCAAGGGGGCCCCTGCCGGTTGATTGATCGACTGTCTCCTGTGTTTTTTTTGCAAAATTTGGGGTTAGTTTGGGTTCATTAGGATATAGACATACGATATCTCTATTGATATACTATGATTTTCTATGTATACTCTACATTGTATGCAACAAAATGTATAATGATATGTAAGAGCCTGTAATAATATATGATGTAATAGTATGCCATGAGAATGATAATATGTACTATATGTATATAATTTTATAATTGTATACATGTTTTACTCACAAGGCAATGATGTCTGTTGCCACTGCCTCGTGTTGAAGCACGGCCGGCTCCAGGCTTCGGGTTTTGCCTGCCGAGCGCGAAACATAGACATGGCCAATGTACAGTGTGTTTGTGTTTCTCGTCCTGCCATGAGCGCGTGGAATGGTAGGCTTCGCGTTTGAGCTGCGGAAAAACTGGAACCAGGCGATTGTTTGCCATTGTTTGGAGATTTCATGAGCCCCAGTCATGTTTACCTGATCTGTGGCATGATACGAGTATAGGATGACAACGTGTAACCGTAACCTCCCAAAAATGTCCGGAAAATGCTTTCAGCCGCACAACAGGTCGCTTTGGTTCAAGGCAATTGTTGCAGGATCGCAGTGCCACCAGATTTCTGTTAGGATTGAACCGTTATATTGACATGTTGAATCATGTCTGTTGTCATTCTCTATGAATATACGTATATAATATATATACATATATATATATAATGTTAATATATATATATATACATGTACACAATTGTACACATATAGATATATGATATATATATATAATATAGATGAACATGTAAACATCACACCTAGATACTATCAACCTCGAGCAACAGAGGACTCCTCACCTGGCCGACCTTTGGTGCAGCCATGCCTCGAAATCAGGCCGTGGCAGCCTTGAAGGACCCGTGGAGGGAGCGGTGAGGCACTAATCTTACATACCTCTCATGTGGGTCTTTCAGAAAAGGAACAGATCCAAAATGTACTTGAAACATCGGGCTGGTGGTAGAGAATCCCTTGATCAATTTCTGACCCATTGCCGTGAAGAGAATCCCTTGCCATTGATGATATCCCCATAGCTGGTTTCTAGGAGAGAATTGGATGAATGGGCAATGAATGCTCGAACGGTTTTAAACCATCTCGCAGATTGTAGGCAAAAAAATACTTTTGTCCCCCCATCATCATCGATCAAACACATGGCCACATTGCTTGGAGTGATGTCTCAGCCAGAATGACTATGTGATCTATGAGGGACATATCCAAGGCAACAAGGTAAAATCTACAGATCCCAGATCCCCAAAAAAAGACGTTCTTTGCTCCACTAGGTGATATTTTTCCGACATGTACCATTCTTTCAACTTCGATGTGTGCATAATTTTGCATTGGAAGGTTGATGAAGGTTGGATACTGTTGGATTTCTAGTAGAGTCTACCCGGCCTGGTAAACTAACAGTTTGCTATTGAACATGGCCATAGAAATAGTGCATTTACCCATAAAAAATGATGATTTTCCATAGTTTTTTGTATGTTTACCAGGCCGGGTACCCCATGTTTTCGCATCTTCCATCAACAGCTGCGGATAGGAGACGTTGATCCAGCGCTTCGGCTCGGACTTCAAGGATGTGATCGAGTCAGAGGCGAGCAGCCAGGCTGTTGGGGGAATAGAACTCGTTGAAGTTATGATACCCTCTGGTAAACATACAAAAAACTATGGAAAGATCCACCATTTTTAATGGGAAAACTCACTATTTCTATGGCAATTTTCAATAGCTATGTTAGTCATTACCAGAGGGTATGTGCACAAGCAACAAGATGGGAGTAATTTGAAGTTAGACATTGATTTCTTTTCTTTTCCAAGTGTAGAATTCTATACTGTATCCACCATGAATCCCGGTCGGCTTGGTAAGCAACTTATTTGGCTGAGGCCTAGGAGTATGAGGTAAACAGCGGAAAGCTTACGCATGCAAAAAATGTGGTTTTGACAAACAACATACTTGGATAACAACCAACATATGGTTAAACATTGAAGGATGGGGGATCACGGAATTATATAATGTCTTGTGTGGTCAATATTTCCAGCAAACAAATTAGTTAAATCACCATGAAGATACAGCCACTCTAACAAGGTAAAAATGGTGAAAGTACAATAGCTCGCTGGAGTGTTTTATTCTTCTAGATGGGGAATACAATACCCAGTAACTTGTTTGCAGGGTGTCTAGGATGATAACATATGTAGAAATTCTTCAAAACGAATGTTTAAAGACTCTTTGTTCATGAAAATTATGTAGCTGCACTGGTTGATGTTTGTTGGGGCTTCAACGCCCACAATGTCCCATGTTCTCGTGTTTCTTGGGGACTGGGTGATTGGGGAATCCTTGAAAGGTGATGTTTATGCGTGGCGATGCTGGAGA